TACGTTTAATTCCTGGTAATCTAACCAGTTAGTTTCATTGAATGAAGCTACAGAGTTGTAATGTATTTATTAAGATTAAGAACATTTTTCAAATGTATGAAATATGTATTATCTTTAATATCACTAATCTTGTGAATCATACAAATATGTATTACCTTGAATATCACTAATCTTGTGAATCAGACCACTAATCTTGTGAATCAGTATGCCTATTTTATGATGATTGTGGGTATTATGGTTTCTATCTAGGGGAAATGTATAAATGATTGTTCAGTCCTAAATTTTAGTCTTTAGAGTTTTTGTTTGTCTGTTTGAGGCAGGGTCTTGCTATGTAGTCCAGTAGTCTAGGTTGGCTTCCAATTCACAGTGATTCTCTTGAATGCTGGGATTACAGCCATGCGCCCCCCATACCCAGTACCTCAAAATTTATTTTTAAGTGATTTACAGTAAACTGAAAGTTTATAATCTGACCAGTTCACTTTTGAACTCAGTATTTTAGGTATAAGATGCTGAAGCATGCCATCTTTTTCTTGACATTAGTCAAACCCCAGGAGTTGAACAAATACATGCTCAATTAATCCAATAAACAACAATGGAGAAGTTAACAAGTTAATTGCATACTTCATTAGTCTGGTACAAATTTATCCTAATTTTACTAAAAGTTTATTTAATCAATTTGTAGTCTGTTCCTCTCTCTACCCCATTCCCAAACACGTAGATTTTTGTCCATGAAACAAAGATAAGAACAAATTATTGCTTAATTGATAGGAAATGGCATAGTAATTCATTTAAAATAATAGAACTGATTAATCCTTTATAACTGTGCAATATCAAAATTTGCCTCATTATTATACTTTTCCATTTTTACATTATTCCTCTAATTTCTCCTCCTCTTATTCTCTTCATTGTCATAATGTGCTCCTATGGGTGATAATCTTTTCTCATGCTCTTGTCCTGTCCTTTAAAGCTTCTGTTCAGTCTGTAAACACTTACTAGACACACTTAGCCCTTTCCTATACCTAACAAAAACTATCTCACGGCTTTATCTGAAAACCAACATTTTTTCAATATTCATATATTTCCTCAAAACCTTGTTAATACAGCTTTTCCTTGACTGCCACGTATCAGTATCTAATTCCAACATACTTTTTCAGTCCTCCTCATACCACTACTGTGTGTGTTTTGTCCTTCTATGTATCACAGCTTGATTCCTTACCACTTCTCAAATATGAACTCACTACTTTCATGCCTCCTGAATTTATTGAGTTTGTTCTTCCTCCCTTAAATCTACTGCCTTTTTCCTACTACTACAACACTTATACTTCAACTGTGAGTTCTGACTTCAGAAAGTGTATAAACACCGGAGTAAAGAATGCAGATTTCAGAGGATGCTTCAATATACTTTTTCTCTGTGGAGATTTAAGGGTTTTGATCGCATTCTCAGGAAGAGGCCAAGATTTATCCAAGACTTAAAGAATATTGTCCTTATTTTCTTTTACTTTCCTAAAGTACACATTTGCTTTTGTTACATATAGCCTTGTTCATGTAACCATGCATTTATCCATGTATATGACTTTGTACTCTGTGTTGCTAGATTATAATATTTAATACATTATGTTTCTAAATCATTGTTTTCTGTATACTACCTTATATATGATAGGTACTTTCATTGTAACAATTAAAACTCTTCCTTTATAAAAATAGGTCTGTGATCTTTATGAGATTAGAATTCTCTTCAATTTAAAAAAGTAAATATGATAAATATATTAAAACTTTTTTATATTTCTCAAAGCACTTATCAGATAGGTGGTAAATATTCTGGTTATTCCTTTTGACTAATTAATAAGCCTCAACAAATTTATGATTATTTAAAAGACGTAGGTTTTTAGGTAGGCTCCAACATACTTGCTCTGAGGTTGTTGTCTTTTATATAAAGAAAAAAAGAATCTTTGTTTATTTATTGGTTGTCCCATCTTTCCATTTTTTCTTTTTCTGTACCTGGGCTTTACAAATTTAGTACAATGGAAGTGGATTAGGGCAGAAAATTCCTATAGAAGAAAATGAATAGGCCATTTGTTTTCAGGTGTGACTCAAACAAGAACCCAAATTTGAAAGCTCCAAGATAGTTTAGAAAGTCAGTATCTATTATAGGGAATGCAGTTTCATCTGTGTTATCTCTCTTCCTCTACATCTCCTCTGAGCTCTTTAAAACTGTCCAGAAGGGACAGGGGACTAACTCAGGGACAGCCTGTGCTCAATCCCTGGGATATACATATGTACATGCACACATACAGTATGTACATAAGAGAAAAAAAAACTGCCCAAAATGAAAAGACCATTTTCTAACAATGTGACCTGCTATAGAGCTGTTGAAATCTAGGAGCCTGTGTAGAAAGAATGCTAGTAATATAAGCAAAGCTCTAAGAAAAAGAAATGTTTAGCTCTTCAAAGAAAAGGTACTGCTAAAGCAGGTATGGTGGCATACCCCTGTTAGCTCTATACTCTGTGAAACTCAGACAGGAAGATTACAAGTTTGAGTCCAGGCTGGGCAGTTTAGAGACCTAGCAAGCTTTATGAGTGGAGGTGGGATGGGGGTGGGGAAAGTACTGTACTAGTCTAGTCGCTTAAAATTGCTGCTTCACAAACCCAGGACATGGAGATATATATATATCCCTACAGTGTCCCACATCATGACTGTGGCACAGTGCAAAGGATGAATGATTACTTAGGGTCAATGTTCAATCCAAACTTCAAGAAGGCCCAAAGGAGATACCCTTAACCAAGACCCCTTCTGCATGAGAAAGTACCATAAAGACAGCCCTAAATGTTCTGTGGTGTTTTTTTGTTTTGTTTTGTTTGTTTTGTTTTGTTTTTAGTCAACAGAACCAAGAACCAAGGATAAATAAAAAAGAAGTACATCTGGGCAGAAACTCTAGTAGGCCACAGGGGAAGAACGAAGGAAGCTCAGGGTGGTCTGTTAAATGACTGACCTTGGGACCAATCTAAATGATAAGTCAAGAGTACCTGGAGGACAAAGGCCAGACCATTCATTCCTTAAACAATGCATTTTGATCCTCCTTGGACATGTGGCCCAGTACACCATGTTTTAGTCTCTAACTATGCATTCCTGGAGGTTTTGGGCTTGAGGCTCCTTTCCTGTGCATATCCATTTCATACATACCTCTGGCCAAGGTACCCACACGCAAGTGTTGCTCAGCTATTGTATTTCTGACCGTCCTTACCCTTTACTTAAACCTATGAAGTAACAAGGTACAGATCATTTTATTTTCATTTGTTAGATTGAAATCATATCCCGAATTTTCCTCACTCAAACTTTAAAGTAAATGTAGACATGCCAGCAAGTTATACTTTTGAACAAATTCTTTTTATATGTGATTTATAGTCACAAAAATCTTTTTAACTTTATCTATTTTTTTCTCTTTGAAAAAAAGAGCACATATTAATTTCCTCTAGAGATATAATACCAAAGTTGTTTTGTTTCATATTTACTATTTTGGTAAAATGTTTGTTTATTCCTTATATTTATACTATTTTTAAAATGTGCCCTTTTCAGTTAGCTATAACCTATTTTTTGATATAATGATAAGCTACATTAAGAAAATGTTTACAAAGCCAGCTTACCTAATTTTGTGATCTGAAAAGCATTAATAATAGAATAATTTATCTTATATATTCTTATATAGTTATTTGATATCTATTTTAAGAGCACTTTTTCTATAATTTCCTAACTTACCATATTCTTAGTATTACCTTTCATTAATTCTGGATAGTAACTAGCAGTTTGGGAAAATAATACATAATAAAATTAATGCTATCAATTCTCAAGTTGTTTGGATTTAATATCATTATAACTGATGCTGAATGTCTGTTTACAGTGTTCTATCATAAAGAAACTAGAAGTTTGATAGAAAATAAAGACTGCTTTGGATATTAGTTATTAAGTCTCATTTTTTCTTTTGGAGGGAAACAATGAGGCTTTTTCAATTTCCACAGTGAAGTATAGTATAAGAAATTTAACTGTTTTAAATCACATTCTGAATTGTTAATGGTATTAGATGGTTAATAAAATCTAGTTTTTCTCTAGAATTGGACTGTGATTTTTTTAAAAAAAGTTAGTTAATATATTAAGCATAATTCAGCTACCAAATGCATATTATTTGTTACCTGTTTTTTTTTTTAACATAATCTGCAGTAGTCATAGGAATAATTTTTAACTATAAGGTTACTGAGAGCATCTCATGTTCTTCATTAGGACCTTCTTCTTAAGTAAAGTTTTATGATTGTTCATGCGCTGAAATTATATAGAAGAAAATTATTTCTTTTGTTGCTCATTTTCTTTGTTGGCTCTAAATTATTTTCTCTTCTACGTTCCATTTCTGCTGTAATTTCCAGTATCGCTGTCTCACTACCACATCCTAAAATGTAGCAGCCATAGTTACATCTGAATGTTTGTTCCTATCCACTTCCAAATTTTAATACAGGATTAAGAAAGGAATGTATAGACCTAATAGCTTTTAAATATTAATAGATGATTTGTATGCATTTGCATTAAAATACTAATGCATATTGGACTCAATCTGTTGATTTTTCTTTATTGACAGAATTTTAAAAAATTAAGTACTGATTAGATGGAAGACTAGAGAGTGGTGATTAACCCACATCTTGTACTATGAAAATCAAGAATGTTTTTTCATAACTAGAAGAATCTTCTGTGGTCCTGCTCCTCAGATCTCTATACTGATTATAATTAACAGAATGTTCAAAAGGTTTACTTTTCAATGGGCTTACTGTTAATGTGCATATTTTTATTTGTTGCTTTGGAGGGTGGGTGAAGGAGGAAAACACATTAAGTGATAACTGTTCTTTAGCTATCATTGAAAAAGAAGTTGAACTTTAAAAGAATCTATCAAAAATTTTCTGGTCAGCCTTTTGTTACTATCTTGTCTTGAGCCCTTTTTTTTAATGACATCTATTATCAGATTGAAATGGCGATTGAGACGCTGCAAAAGTCTGACGGTCTGTCCACTCACAGAAGTTCTCTTCTCAACAGCCATGTAAGTTGCCTCTTCTTCACGTAAACTAATCTCTTGCTTGTTCTGCATGTGTTGCTTGCCTCTAAATGCTTGTTTTATTTATTTATTTTGCTTCTTAACCTTTCTGTCTCAGCCCCTATAATCTTTGAATTACTTAGTGGCTGTTAGGTACAAAAGAATGTCTCAAAAATAAAGCCCCTAGTATACTCCTTTATTAGGTTTTTATACTGTTTGAATACAAATAAAGCATTTTAAGAATGATTGACAAGCTGCCATTTATTTGTTAAAAAACATTGATGGTGATTTTCAAATTTTAAATAAAGTTTCAGTCTGATATTTAGTATAAAGCAAATTCATATCGTCTATGTGCTTACATGCTTGAGACACAATAATAGCTATGCCTACTTGTATGAGTAGTAAGAGATTTTTTAATAGATAAAAGATTATTAATGCTGAATCCAGGAATAAAGTATTTAAAAATTATTTAAACCATTTTAACCATATAAATAATTAAGGGTATAAACATAGGCAGGAAACAGCAGCGTAAATGAGCTCAGGTCTCAAAAATGAAAGAGCAATGAAAAATGGGCCAAAGGAAAAGATGAGGTGGGAGGCAATCTGAAAGCTGCTAACAGTTTTGAAAAAACAGAGTTACTGTGACTATTGCTTGATGCTTTCAGTGTTACCAGGTGGAGCATCACTGTAACACTGGTAAGTGTAAGAAGAATTATGACTGTTTTGTGGAATTATAAACATTTAAATAATAGCTCAAATTTGGGGAACCAAGGAAAATGCTAATTAAAAATTACCTCAGGATGACTATTGAATATATGAAAAAAGTAAATAGATCTGTGACTTAAATCTGTTATAGGTAGAACTTTGCTAAATTAATGCCAGTAACATTTTAGTAGGGATTAGAGGTTTTTCTTCCCAACTAACAGTGTGTTCTTAAATTGAATGATATAATTATTATGGTTTCTAAATTTTTTCCTGTTTTTTAACCACTGCAAAGCTTAAAATTACATTTCCCAAAAGAAATGTCTCTTTTTTTTTTTTTTCAATAAATTTAAACTTCTAATGTTTCGGAAAACCTTTGTAAATATTTGGACGTTTAGGTTTTTTCATACTGGGGGTTGAACCCAGTACCTCATGTACACTAGGTATTTGAATTTTTAAACACTTAAGTTTTAAAATCCAAAATAACACTATCTTCTAATTTTCTAACACATTTATTTTAAATGGGGTATTTTGTCTTCTTTTTCAAGGAGAAGTTTCCTGGTAAACAAAAACAGGTTGACAACAGGAGAATGTCTGTAATTTTAGTGAAAATCATAGATATAAGTTTCATAATAACAAAATATATTTTGGCCTTCCCTTTTGACACAATGTAAAACTATGATTTCTTCCTCTTTCTGAAAATTCATATGCAAGTATGTCACTTTTACGTATTTCATAAGTGTATCCCTGGTGTGTTGGCATAACTTTGTGGTTGTATTAAAAGGCTAATTTACTATCACTGTTAGACTGTGTCTGTGTGGGGAGAGGGGAATAAGAAACTGCTGTTTGTGAAAATGTCACTCACTTTTAGTCAGAAATGTGTGAGGACATCCGTAAAACAACTCCTCCTCCCAAAAGACCCCTAAAGTTTCCTGTTACTTTCAAACTTGTAAGTACACTACAGTAAATATGTGACATATTTAATTTTATTTTCAACTTCATTTACACATCTTCACTAACATTTTCATGAAAAATAACATAGGTATTAACATATATTTTGTGTTTTTTTATTGGTTGATTTTTTTTTTGAAACCAAATATGTTGTGTTTTTTAAAATTATTTTTCTTGTGGAATTCTGAGCTATTATTTAATGTTAATAGATGAGTTAAGCTGTGCAATAGCAGCCAATTTATTATCTTTCTTTGGCTTTGTGTTTTTATATTATACATTATGGTAAATCTTCCATACTGGAACACTTGTCAGAGACATTTCAGTATGTAGAAAGAGCAAGCACAAATGTCTCTAATGCAGTGATAATATTTGCATAGCTATCCTGATTCACTTTTTTATACTTGGTGAAGTTTATTACAAACTATATTTACCATCATGTGTTTAGAAATACAAATGATTCTAAACATTGGTTGTGAACAGTGGAGATAGGACCAGTGTTTTTGTTGGCTGATGAGTGAAGTTAGTTTCTCTCTGAACATAAAAAGACCTCGTACTGTCTTTTTGTCCTTGGAAAGTTAATGATGCTCTTCATTTTTATTAAATTTTTCCAAATATCTGGAGTAAGCTATTGCATTATTACTGAGTTTATTGTTGACTGTTATTATTGATATGCAATTGATAATATCTTTAACAATATTATGAATTCTGTGAACTTAATTGGTGATTTTCTGCTGTGTAGAAATTTTTAGCAGGATTTTTTAAATGTTAGCATTTAAATATTAATAAATAAAGGTATGTTTACCCACCTTACAGGATCTAATATAGAGTTATTTGAGATTTGTTGAATTACTTGAGGTAGTCAGGAGTCCCAATGTATAATAATTAATTCTCTGATTTATAAATTTCTACAAAGGATTACTGTCATTAGCAAAAAATTAGGAAATGTCCTATATTGTTAGTTTTTAAAGAGGTCTGTTAATTTTGAGATAAAGCATCTTTTTATTTTATTTTTGGATATGGACTGGAAAGGATTTTCTATTTTCTTTTTCTGAATTTCATTTTCTCAATGATTAAGAAAATTCTTATTAAGAGCAATTTAATAAATAATCCTTTCTCAGTAGAATTCAACTTGGTTGCTTTGCTTTTTGCCATTTTGTACTTTGGGAGATGGAGTCAGGTATTATATTTTATATTCCATTTTCTTATATTCTTACGGCTATTTTTATGCATTTAATCTACTTTTATCTTCCTCCAGGTTAAAATACACAGAACCTACATGTGTGATACACTATAGAGTGTCCCACTTGTAACTGAGTACAGTTATATTGCATACAGTACTTTATTGTATTGAATCTTAACTCAGTGAGGATTATTTCAGAACTAGTATCTCATAGACAATAAATGTTTATTGATAAGTCAAAATTACGAGACTAAAAAATTTTTATGTTTTGTCTACCTAGAGGTCCTGGTATTTAAAACAGTGCTGGTACCTAGTACATGCTAATTAAAATTTGCTAAGTGAATGGATCTAAGAAACAACAGAAGCAAATAGGCTATCTTACTTTCATTGTTCTAAGATGCTTTTGCCAGTCACATGTGTGTTTATTTGGAGGCTCATATATGCAATGATTTTTTCTTTGTTTCAAGTATCCTGTAGTAGATGTACGTGTGAACATGGTTGGTAGAGGCTGTCACTCCTGCCACACTAATTGAAGAATATATGGTTGCCTAACATTTCCCCACATGCATCCTTCCCCACCTGAAGGATAGATATTTTTTTCTCTCAAAACAAGCTAATCTTTTCAAAAGTTGTAGATGAGTAACATCATTCATCTACTTGAATTTTATAATGGTATTTGTAATTTGACTTTATAGAGTATATTACCATAACAACTTTTTATTTAAAAGTTTCTCTGCCTAAATAGAATTTCTAATTTCCATTACTGCACACTTAAATTTCTTTTATACTCCTTCTGTGTTGTAATTAATTTAAATTTGCATTTAATACTTATAGTGTGTTTAATATGGGAGAGTTTCAATTGCAAATTTGAAATCAGAAATATTAAACTAATTGTTCCTAAGTTTCACATAATGTTCTTGTAGTTGTATTTTTTAAAAAAAAGTTTCACTAAAAGTATGAAAAACTCTGGTATTTATTTTATAAGTTTTTCATAATCTAACAAGTTATTACTTCATGATTTTTGCTAATTGTAGCTACTGAAATATAGTCAGCTCAAAGGAAAACTTTGTTTTCATTATGTTCTCCCTTTACTTTTCTGTACTATAAATATATTATTACAGGCTAAATGTCTGTAAAAATGTATATTATCAGTGAACTAAACTTAAAATGAATCCTAATTAACAACAATCCATTTGAGAGAAAATGCCAAATATTACATTTAGATGTTAATTGGCAATAGAATACTTATTTCTTCTTCTTTGTCAATCATTATTTCCTTTTGAGATAAACAGGAGCTGTTCATCTGCTTTAATCTATCCTGATTACTATATAATAATGCAAAGGTTGAAAGATACAATCGTCTGTTTCTATCCTTGGATAAGTGTATTTTTGTTCATAGAATAATCAGGATTTAAATATAAAGGTTAAAAGTTTCTATGGTGTTTTATGGACCTTTATAATCATAAATACAAGCATTTTACATGACATTTCATAAAAGAGTAAAAGCAACAGCAGGAATTTCATTATAACTTACTAAATGTTAAAGAGTGTTGAATTCTAATAGTCAAATATAGTTTGTTACAGACAAAACCACAGAAAAGAAAGCACCTTATAACTAGCCTTAAATTGTTGAGGGGTAGTGTGTGGAGCATATGCTTTTAGGTTATGTTTAAACTAACACAGAAACTTAAATTTATCTAGTAATAAAAATCATGCTTCCTAATACTGTGTATTAAATTCAGTATCTGGTATGTACTTTCATCACTATCAAATTCTGAATATTAAATACTGGCATATAGAATGCATATTATAATCTGCAGCTATATTTTAAAGTTTTATCTGGTAGATTTTAAATCAGTTTCTACTTGTATGAAGTTTCTAGGAGATAAACTCCTGCTTAGTGCTGTCTTTGTCAGGCTTCCTTGTTGGAGCCCAGGTTGCAGAACCACCTTTATTTCTTCAGGGCCTTGCCTCCACTTGACCTCCTTCTGCTCTTTCAGAGTGCTCTCCAGGCAAGAAAAACAGTTCTTCCTCCCAGAAAGTGAAGTAGGAAAAAATAAACTGTGCTTTTGCCACTGTCAAAATTACAGTCAGTAAAATACCTGTCCATGGGAAACTTTTCAAACCAGCTAATTTTACACACACACACACACACACACACACACACACACACACACACACACTACATAAAATGTTTTATTATTTATGCACTTTAGGTTTCAAAGCTCTATTATAAAATTGACTTTATTTGATTTCTGGTAAAATACCCTTTACAGTAAGTTTCCTATTTGGATATCATCTGTTGTCGTTAGTAAAAGAAGGAATATTGATTTTTTCACTCCTCTTTTAAATCATACTATTACGCCTTTGACAGTGTTATTTTATGATGATACATAGACATACATACAAGCATATATTTGGCATTTTAAACTTACATTTATTGTGTACTGAATGCTTGTGGATATGGGAACTTCATTAGTTCAATTTCAAAATATTGCTGTTTTTTTTTAATATTTACATGCTTTATATGTTTGCCTACCCAGAGCTTTTTTTTTTTTAGTACTTTTTATAACTCTTATATTAAGGTCTGTATTCCTTTCTTTAGTGTATCATGAGTATCAATAAAAGGCAGTTTACCCCTTCCTCCATCTGATATATGTATGCACAATGGCTCACTAGAGCTGCTGTAACACCAATTACATGCTTTCAAATCCTAATAATTTTCCAGAGGCACGTGCTTGAAATATGAGTCAGGTGTCTATTGCTACTTGTCTACTAACCTCCCACAGTTGTGTTCATAGTCAACAAACTCTGAAACAAACGCAAAAACACTAAAGAGACATTCTTTCCCAATGGTGCAGGCAGAATATTGCATTGGGGCTCAGTAACAGTAATTTCTGAATCAGTTTGCCTCCTATCTTTTACACTAAATGGACACATATAATGTTCTATGTATTTTATGTATTATTTAGAGTACTCAGAAATCATGTTTGTGTATCTCTAGAAAAGTTGCTGACAATGAAGTTTACATGATAATTCATATGGAAAGAATTCTTTTGACTTACATTTCTGTTATTATAAAGATGGAAGTTTAGTTTAAAAATGTTTTGGGAGTTTTGTAGTAGAGGTTTATATATGTTGCAAAGCTGATGTATATATTAAAATGCATATATTCATATGCATATATATTCTGCAAAGAACTTGAAGTCTTCCTGAGCAGAACATTTTTATTTTTTAAAGTTCTCTGTTCTGTCTGTGGGTGTGGTGACTGTAATTGCCAAACTAACCATCAGCATAGGTTTAATTATTAAGTATCATAGAATTATATTTTAAATTAAAACAGTTTTAGAAACATTAGCTGACATAGTTATAAACAATACTGAAAATACTCAATGAATTTTTATTAGAAGCTGAAATTTGAGGTTCTAAGTTTGATTAAACATCTTAAAATATGCAAGTTTAAGGGAAAAATGCTTTTATTTACTTAAGTGTCTATCTCATCATTTTTAGCACTTAACTCTGAATTCCCAGAGGATAGGTGAGCTCACTTTTAACTATATCACTGGGTACCTAGCACATTGCCTGTTGATGCTAGTCGGTATTCAAAACTGAATTATTTTTACTTCTATAATTTATATTTCACTAAAGGTACATGTTATGGAAATTTTGTTGAGACAAGCAATATGAAATATTTAGTGCTTCTGTGGAATTAACTCTTGGTCTAGATTTCAGAGAAATTAGGAAATCTGAGTTGGAAACCAGGCTTGAGACATTGAGATAATTTGTGACCATAAGATAACCATTTCTGTCTGTTTCACTTTCCCGTTTATAAATAAGTAAATGAACAAATGAATCTCATGTTGAGATTTAATATTACATACCTAGACTGAATTTTCTAAAAATTTCTTGTGCATGTTGTACTTTAAAGATTATTTTTTAAAAAATACATGCTGGAAAATATAAAACTTTTGTTTTATTAACATTGGAGCAAAATTCAATTGGATGTAAAGAAGATTCCTTTTTATTTTATATAAATTGTTTGCCAGAATCAAATGAGTTTTTTTCTTCTGGGGGAAGGATTGACTTACATTGTCCTTTTTATTTGCAGAATTTGTCCCAGTACAAAACGTAGTTATTGTATTATGTGATGATTTGCAATAAGTTAGTATGTTTTGAAAATTAATAGAACCTTAAAAACTAAAATTAATAGAATCTTAAAAACTTATACAAAGCAGCCTGCTATTTGCATATTATAATGAACCAACATGAAAGACATGATGTCATGCTGCCAGTTTTGGTAACATGTTTTATTGATAGCAATCATAAATTATATTTATGACCAGTTAACAAGATCATCTGAATTCCCCGAGTAGATACTTTTCCCCAAAATAACAGTGAATGCAGGGAAAATTAGTGTGTCTCTACATGTGCTCAAATATTTGGGGAAAAAATAAGTATCAAATGATAAGTATTGCTCGGCTATTTGTAGTATTGGTGAGAGTTTTCAAAATCAGGTTATACTGGCCTTTGAAATACAGTAATGTACATTACTTTATCATAAGAGTTAATGAAGCCGGGTGCAGTAGTGTGCAACTTTATCTGATCTCAGCCCTCTGGATGCTGAGGGAGCAGGATCACTGTGATTTAGGGGCCAGCCTGGGCTACAAAGTGAGTTCAAGGCCAGCCTGAACCTCATAGTAAAATCTTGTCTCAAAAAGATAAAAAAAAATAAATAAATAAATAAATAAAAAAAAAAAAAATCTGAGTATTTCTTGTATTGTGTTTGCAATGACTTACTGAAATTTTGACAAATTGTCTTACTTCTCTGTGTTACTTTGTCTTCTTTGTACTAGCTTCAGTGGCTTTTGGACAATTATGAGACAGCAGAAGGAGTGAGCCTTCCCAGAAGCACTCTGTACAACCACTACCTTCGACACTGTCAGGAACACAAACTGGACCCAGTCAATGCTGCCTCTTTTGGAAAATTAATAAGGTCAATTTTTATGGGACTACGAACCAGGAGATTGGGCACTAGGTTAGTACTTAAAAAAGAGATCATCAACCAATCTCTCCTTTTCAAATTAGAGCAGTTTGGTGTTATTGTTTAATCAGAATACTTAATTACAGGTAGAATATAAGGAAACAGTAGAGAATGCTCTCAGTTTATGAAATTCATGTGAAAAGGAAAGTCATTATTCAGTGAACAGTACCAACCCAAAATGGTAGGTTGTCCTGCACACTAACTGAGCAGGTTTTAAGAACAGGTTTTCAGATTACATAGGAATTAACAGACTAACCTGCTAATGCAAGATTTGTTTGTGGATTTTTGTTTTATTTATGTATTTATGTATTTATTTGTTTATTGTCATACCAGGTTTTGACCCAGGTCATCACACATGTTAAGCAATTATCACAAACTACATCCCCGGCCCTGCATTTGGTACTTTAACTGTATTCTTTTTTGTGAAAATAACTATCCTAATGATGATGAATACAGTGGCGTAGTAAATGGAAAATTATATCTCAGATACTTATAAAATTATACTTAATTTTTAATAATTTATTTTAATAGAGAAAAAATGAAAACTAAAGTTTTCATTTCATTTTGTATAGCTGAGATCAACTAAAAGTTATTTGCTAAATTTGCAAAACACAGGTACTTGATGGCATTGATAATGATATCATCCCATCTCCTATTTTCTCTCTTATTCTTCTTTTATTTATTTATTTTTTATGTTCTTAGTTATTAAACCATATGTGGAAGAAATTATGTGATGGTGTCTCGGTTCATGAATTTAATTGTTTCCATGATTCTAGTTGCAAACTACATAGGTAGCAAACCAAATCAAATTTAGTGATTAGGTTCAATGTTGACCTTATGGGGAAATTTGACTTGGTTCTATTCTATAGCTTTATTGCATAATAACAAGTAATATCAGGAAGGAGCTTCCAGTTTCTCTTGTTTTGAAAATAAACTTAAATGTCAATAAAGTATTTTTAATCTTAGTAAAATAAAGAGCACCTTACCAATATAACTTCATCTTGTATTTTAACTAAAATTATCAGTGTTGTCAGTCAGAAGATTGAACTTTCTCTCATTCATCTTAAGGTTCATGAACAATATCCTTATGACAAAAGACAAATTAACAAGAGAACCACATGCCAATTTATTTAATGTAAGTTTTACGTGACATGGAGCCATGTAGTTTTGTGCATGACATGGACCCTTCAGAAATAAAGACCTACAGAAACAGGGAAATGGCATTTTATTCTAAGCCAAATTCTGAAGTGGTTACTTCTGGAGAAACATGATTGACTAAAAGGCATATGATCAAAAATTTTAACTGGGGTGGGAAGTATATGACTCAGTAAGGCCCACTTGTCTCTAGAATGAAAGTCCTATGACCTATTTTCAGGAAAAGGCCAGCCCTCCTCAGGTGGAAAGGAGTGAAAGTAATGTTTTTCCACCTTCTACAGCTTCTGTTATTTTCTAAAATGGCAAAGCACCATATTTTTGGATAATGTGTCCTGAACCCTATTAGATGGAGGTTTTGTAAGATTTGCAAGGCTTGTATGTACTCAAATTGTGAATTATTCCTTACTTTTGCATTTTTAGTGATTATACAACATTCAGGTTGCTGGAGGTTCTGTTGTCTCATAAATATATTTTCTTTTATCTATACTTTCAAAGATATTATATTTGAAACTGCAGCATATGATTGCCTATTCAAACTAAAGAAACTGGCTTTCATTCCCTTGAAAGCTTTTGTTTATCTAGTATTTTTTTCCCCCAAAACTAGGAAAATCATTATTTGGGAACCTAACCTACTATCTCCTAGCTGGTGGCTCAGTAGTTACGCATATGGTGCCAATATTTTGAAACTGGGCTTTATTCAACATTCTAATAACTGTATTGTAGTGTTGCTTTTGTTACTGAAAAGGATTTCAATGGGTCCTATTTTGAGGCTCCATTCAAACCTTGAAACACATCTTTAAAATCGAAAGGGACAAAATTAGGGTTGTTTGGGTTTGTGAATGAGTAGAATCCATATTCTGTAAGTACATTTTATAATACAGCAGCTTTTGCTTTCTAATGGACCCTCCCCAACAATTATGTCCCCTGCTTCTCTTACAATTGTATGATGGTGTTTGCAATTGAGATGGAAAGCAAAGCCTAGAAGAATAAAGAGAAAGTAAATATTACAGGATGGAGATGGGGTTTAAACTAATGAAGTGTTAGGAAGATAGAAAAACTATAATAGAGAGAAACTGAGCACTAGGTATGAAATCTCAGAGATTCTTTTTTTTTGAGATTGTTTCTGCCATGGAAACTGACACTTACTTTCTACGCTTAACCCACAGAATGGAAGGATAATCCGTACAGATCATGAAGCAAGCTAAATCAGATACTTTTTGGGAAAAAAAAAAAAAAAAAAAAAACTATATCCAGAAATATTATGAGTAAAATTACATGGTGAAATTATTTAAACCAGACTATATCTTTTCTAACATTTTTGGACCTATGTAAACAAAATAAATAAAATCAGTATTAATAAACAAAAATTTCCTTTCTCATGGTTCCATTTCCAAATGAAGTTTGAGCAAAAGTAACCATGGCTTTGCTTCTCTCCCAAAGCCATTCTGAATGGTGTGAAAAGAGGTACATCTCCCAACCCAACCCAGATGCTAATTTGCAAGAAACTGAAAGGAATCTAGGCATTCCACTTATGTGGGATCTCACCAGAGAAACATCACTTCACATGATAATTTTTTCCATGACTAAGAACTGCTGCTAGCCTGTTCCTCTGCTCACTCCAGTTTGTTTGCAAAAACACTAAAAACTGTGGTATTTTTTTGCTGAGTTCTTTAGTAGGTTTTGAAAACCACTCCTAATTTCTACAGATGGAGGGTCTTTCTGTTTGAATATTGAGCATTTATTTCTGCTTTATTCTGCTGAAAGCCATATTTTTAAAAAACTATAACAATATTATTTATGTGATATAATGTCTGCAAGTGTATAGGGTTAATTTAGTATGTGCTTATTAAACTTAGAAGTAAATTAATCTATTTTTATATAAAATATATTTAATCCACACTTGCCTTGCATTTCTTTTTGTAAGTGAAGCAAAAAATTGGAAGGAGCACTGATGTCTTACTATATATAGAGTTGTGGGAAACTATTTTCCAATTGCAAGCATTTACATATTTAAAATGTTAGTTTTGCAAGAATTTCCAAATTCCATTCAGAGCAATACTTGTGATTTCAAATAGCAAACATAGTCTTTCTTACGAACGTGAGGAAGATGTGATATTTTTATTCCAGGTGGAAATTTGCCATGTTCACAGAGAAATTTTGCTGTATATGTTGTGACATATCCAATGCAGCCTACAAAACTGACATAAATCCATACAAGTAGAGACTAATAAAATGTATTTCAACATCACTAAAATTTCCTCCTATTTTGGGTTGCAATATTAAATACAGTGGTATCTCGATTCATGCACTTAATCATAATTAAGTGAAGCACCCACTGTACCACACTTTACCTCAATATCTTATAACAGCTATCTTGTTTCATCATCCCTGAACAAAGAAAAATGTGAAACACATTCAGACTAAGGATTTTTTTGTTTGATACAGCTATTCTCTAATAAATTCATGTTCATTTATACTGTTATTGAATTTGTTTTACTACTATTACCTTTTCTCGATTAAATTTAAGATATAAATTTGAAAATAAAATTCACTTGAGTGGAACAAATTAAGTGAAGGTATATAAGGAAATATGTATCTTAAAGCCTTGAACTGACTGAGAATCTCATTTTGATTTTTTTAGATGTTGCAATAAAAACAGGTATACAAAAACATAAATCATAAAGATATATTAGGTTTTTACTTAATGTTTTCCAAAGTTAAATGTACATCTAATGTGATGCATAGTTATTTGACTGACTCTTTGTGTTTCCAATGTTTGTTGTCTTTTATGAAGAGGAAACTCCAAGTATCATTACTATGGGATTCGTGTCAAGCCAGATTCCCCTCTTAATCGTCTGCAGGAAGACATGCAGTATATGGCTATGAGACAACAACCCATGCAACAGAAGCAAAGGTATACTTTGGAGTTGCCTTAATAAGTCAAAGTTATATATTTCTAAGTTACTTAAGTCTCTTCTTTTTGAACAACTAGAGCAAATACCAAGTGTACAGGAGTGTTGCTACTGTTGACTTGCATTCACTATCAATAATTCCTTAGTCTGACTTAGGATTTCAGTGATCTAGTCCTCCAGAAATTTTAATTCTGATTCTTTCACCCATTTGACCCCTTTTAAATTAAGTGTAACATCTCAAACTGGTCAGTCAGGGAAATGAAATATAAAACTTAAAGAACAAACACAGCAAATACCTCCTGGAGAAAGTAGTTTTATGCATCAGTGTAGACTTGCTATTCTGCACATCCTTTGAGTCTTTTTTTTTTTTTTTTTTTTACTATGAATTATTTTTTTTTTTTAACTATGAATTCTTATGTCTGGAATTTCTTACACTTAAAAAAATCCAACTTTCTTAAACATAGAATTTTAGCAGTTAGTAATTATAAGAAGAGATTTCAAGCATTCATGAATGAATGCATGGATGGATAATAGAATCACGTATTTTACAATTGAAAAACACCTTAGCCTAGGTTGATCTTAAAACCTGAGGATAATCAAAGCATTAGCAGCTCTCTTTTCAGATGAATCCAAGAGATGAAATGATTTGCACTAGCCTATATTACTCCTGCTAGTCGAGGACCTTATAGTCCCATGTGACTACTGTCATAATTCAGAGTAAATAAAACAAAAAAGCTATCCTTCTACCAGCATAGTGCAGACATGCCATCTAGTTGTGATTCTTTGGTTTTATTTCCAGTTCAACATGTAGAATTAGGAGAAAGGAGGCTTCTGCTTGCATTCTGCTTCAGGGTTCTGAAGTGATTTAGTTGCTTTGGTCAGATCTCCAGATCCACTCCATTTTAGTCAGAAGTGTTAGCTCTAAGATACTGCTAGAGAAAGAATATATTGCACGCTAGTCCTTTTACTATTTATTCAGCAAACACTGAATCTCAACTGTGTGAGAGGCATGCAAAGACAGACACCTTCCTGTACTTTGAAGAGTTAAAACATTAGACAGAAAGGCATATGGGGAATTAAGAAAAAAGAAATGCAGTCTGAGATGTGCTAAAATATCCTTTTGGTCAAGGAACTATAGAATAAGGAGTAATTTTCAACAAAATCTGGGAGAGGGAAGATTGGGAAACTTCATAGAGAAAGTGCTATTTATACAGGAACTAAGAAGAGTCAGATACAGAGGAGATTTAGGCAGAGAGAAATGTAAACAAAGCACTGGGGTAAAGTCCACGGTGTCTTTAGTAAATGATCTATGATTTGGTGAGGTTGGAACTGTAGATGAGATTGAGGAGATGCTTTAGTATTTTAGTGGGAGATGCAATTTAAAAAACACTTTGTATTAAGAGATTTAGTTTTATGTGAAGCTCATAAAATTGTTCTTTGTGCAGAACACAGCTTTGAAGCTATTCAAAGCTTTGAAGCAAAATGAAGAAACTGACTTTTTTCTAGAGAGATGATGTTTTGATTTAGGGCAAGACATTTATTGGTAAGAGACTGAAGGTAAAGTCAATTAAATGGTTTTAACAAAGTCATAATTTCCATTGTATGTGTTTCAGCCTAAAGACGCAATCAAAGCTATTGTATAAAAGTATCTTAAAGATTTAGGTTTTTAATTTACAGATTCTCTATCGTCTTTTTTTTAAATTGCTGATTCTTGTTTTGGATGTATAGTCAGTGAAACATGTTAAGAAGGACTTTAAGAAAAATAGTGTCAGTCAGACCTTACATGATGAAAGTAGAGGAAGTATGAAATAATAAACTGAGGGCTGGGGCTTTAGCTCAGCAGTGTGTGGTCGTGAGTTTGATCCTCAGTACCGATGAAAAAGAAAAAATAAAATATAATAAAATAAGATAAAATAAAATAAACTGTGCTTGTCTTGAGTTTTGAAGTTTTTTTTTTTTTTTTTTTTTTCTATTTGTTAAAAGCAACACTGCAGCTTTTACTTTCTGGTATAATTTCTGCCCTGTGCACTGCAGCACTATATGGCAGAGATGAAGATAAAATCAAGAAAAAGATCTTGACTCAAATATAACATGTACTAAACTTAATGATGAATAAAAACTTCATAAACTGTACTTACAATAGCTGAAGACTACTTCTTCCTGTGATTTAAATGTAAGCTTTCATGGAAAAGAAACTTTTCAAAGGGCATCTTTTATAAACAACCTGAGTTAGGTAAGCAATTCATCCATTAAAGGTGTGAATCTGTGAAACAGATTCCAGAACTATAAAGATTTAAAAGCAGTGAAAACTCCTGCAACCTCTACATAGTAGCAATTGCTTTTAGAAACAAACACAATATGAATGTGTTATAAAGAAGTATAAAATTCTCAGTAATATTAATAAATCCTGCCAACTTTAATGCTTCAGAGAATTTGTTTTCCTATGAAATACAAATGTTAGAGAACTGAAAAATTGAAATGTCTTTTAATTTTTACTTTCTCCTATGATACCGATTTTCCATTGTGGACAGTTGCTCTTAGGATGGAGTCTTGATTAATGATTGCAGTGTTCATGTCTACTGCATAAGCTTCTTTTTGGGACAAGCAGGAGGCTTCAATTGTCTTTCTGAAAGTCTATTCACTGACACTATCCGTAAGCCTTATTTGAAATCAGTTACCCCATTCTGTAGTGGCATTTGGACTAGAGAGAAAGAATTTCCTTAATTCTCTATATAAGGACAAAATTAAATATATTTGTTAAAATATTGGAAAAAGAACATATTGTATCATTTCTGTGATGACTTAAAAATGTCAAATGAACCTACTAAACAAGTTAAAGTTTATATAAGAGAAAACCTCTATTATTTTGTTAAAATATGAATGATTTGTGAAAGGTTTCAAATATTTTCTAGTAGATACTACAGTAGTGTTTAATATTTCAAAATGTTTAAATTATATAAATACCTTTAGGACTATTTAATGCATCTATGTATATGTTTCTTCCATAGGATAAATTTATATGTTCTTACAATTAAAGAATTCAACTTCATGCATTGATTATTTTGTCAGTTACAGTTAAGGTTTGGTGCTCAGTTTGTTTTTCTAATAAATTTGAAATTGTAATTATAGAGATAGTGATGATTATCATTTTATGCAGCTTTTCAATATCTTGAGTTCTTATATATAAGAAATCTCACTTGAAGATTTGATAGGGCAGTACAGGGAATGCCTACTTATTTACAAATAAGATTCTCTGCATTACTACCATATATAACATAGCCATAAATCTGGAAATAAATGGAAAGAGCTTCTAATTGAAAAACAGATGTCATAGAGCCTATAGTTTCACATACTTGAAAAGGTGAATCTATGTTTACCATTTACCTAAGATAAAGGAACAGATTAGAGCCCATTCAGTTGATAGACTGATGGGGTATGACAGTTGGCAGGAGTAAATATAGGTTGACACGGTCTTCTGTTTACTTTTGAGTTATTTGATTCAGCTGTTTCTTGTCATCTAGTGGAGGGACAAATGGATATAGGTCCTGTAGTAGTCTTTTGGAATATGATTTTAGTGACTAGAATCTAGTCTTATACAATGTAATATCTGTTTTGTATAGTTTTTTTTTTTTTTTTTTTTTTTTTTTGTCTTTTTCGTTTTTTATCGGTACCAGGGATTGAACTCACGACTGCCTGCTTGCAAGGCAGGCGCTTATGCCACTGAGCTAAATCCGCAGCCCCTGTTTTGTATAGTTTTGTATACTGGTGGCATTATGGGTAATCAAAAAAGAAAGAATATATGATTGTTAAAGAAATTTCATATGATAATAATTTCACATTTGAATGGAATAATTTTGATGTTTTTTGTTTGTTTGTTTGTTTGTTTTGTATCAGGAATAGAACTTGGGACCGCATGCTTGCCAGGCAGGCACTGTGCCCTGAGCTATATCCCTGGCCTAGTCTGGAGTTTTCAAAGAAATTCATTCATGGACTAATTTGCTTACCCTAATTTAGACAACAAATTGATTAGGTTATCAATGAGCGAAAAGGACTTCAGTAATTTTGAGCTATGCAAACTAAGTAAAAATGTTTGTTTCAGTTTATTTTTAATACTTTGAAGACTACATAGTTAGCACTTTATATGCAAGATCTCATTTGACCATGATTATTTGCTGTTAAGGATACTGGGCCCACTTAATTTTGCTATATGCAGAAGCTCACTTTATTTTTTTCATACACAAAGCTTCAGATAACTTTTAGTTTCAATTGATCCTGACATCAGATGGAGCCAAAATGGAATTCTCCAAATAAAAAAGATGGAAAAGGTATCCCCTAGAATTTGTTTGACTGGAACAGCCAACTTCAGATAAAAGAAGTGTCATGCATATGTATTTCTAGCAATAATATAGCTGTTCTAGCTAACTGTAAATCACATAAGAGGACTCAGTGAAGAAACTGATGAGATCACAGAACCATATCTGCCCTTTTCATCCTTGCACCCTCAACACTTAGGAGGGCAGTGAACATACTCTTAGTACGCCCCAAATTCATGTTAAATAAATGAATGAGACACATCATTCATTCTTATTTTGGCCAGCAACTTTAACCTCTGTTCTCTCCTGCAGTTAACATAACTATCCTATTTGAATTTAATTTTTGTTTTTTCCCTTGTCCAATTAGAAACACAAGGCTCATGAGACAAATGCCAAGAGCTACTGAGAATTATAGAGATGAAGTCCTATCATTAAGCAGCAAAGTGAGGCTGAAGCCAGTTAGGTGACGTACATAGATATGGTGGGGCATCAGAGAATTTAGTTGCTGTTCTGAAAGAGTGGATCTCTTCATATTCACTGTTTACTTTTAGCCCAGTTATGTTTGTCAGACATCAATCAAGTAAACTAAAGATTTCTGGGGTAATTTTTTTCATGGAGAAATTTCAAGATCCCCATAACTCTAACCTCTTGTCCTGATTGTTAGCTTAATATTATTTGATCATGCAAATCAAATAATATGATCATTTATAATTCACAAATTATAAATATCATAACAACTCTGCCTGTAGAGTTCATATTTTGTGTGTTCTGGATGGCACCTTTTTCTGTTACTTTGCAAAGACTTCTTCCCAGGTGTGGTGGCATGTGCTTGTAATCCAGCACTCAGGAGACTGAGGCAGGAGGATTGCTGTGAGTTCAAGGCCAGCCTGGACTACATAAATTCGTTCAAAGACAGGCTGTAGAACAGTGAGACCCTGCCTCAAAAATAAATAAATAAACAAAGAAAAATAAGAAGATTTCTCAAAGTGATTCAGTGTATTGAAAATCTTTCTACTTGGTACTATTGGTTGAATGTGTTGGTAAATATATACCACTCTTTGCCTTCTATTGGATTTATTAGTAGCTGTGCTTATAGAATTATTGACGGAATATTGCTTTTAGAGTAGATCTACAACTATCCAAGTCCTAAATAACAGCCATTGCTAGACCCATGGGGGAAGATACCTAATAATTTTCCAAATTCTCTGTGTTAGTGACAGGTTTCATGCATACAGTCAGCTATTAACGCATTAGAGTTTCTTTCATTTCTTAATCATTAACAAATTTAGCTCTGATTGCCTATGGAGTTGCAAGCTGTTAAAATGATCATTTGCCTCTTACTAATTTCGAAATCAAGAGCTGTTTCTTTAATGCAGTGCTGGTCTTTCTTAAGAGCACACAACAACTCAAGAGCACTAAGTATCTACTATGGGAAAATCTAATTTGAAAATAATAAATTTGTAAAATAAATGGGGTTAAAGAGAGGGTAATGCTCTTAATGAGTTTTCTTTTTTTTAAGGACTCAATGTAAAGAGGGTTTTTTTTCAACAGGAAGTTTCCCTGATCTTGCAATTTAATACTTATGGTGGTGATTTTATGAAGAGTGTCGAGAGGCAGGAAATCTAAACATTAGTTTTCAATATTGGAAGGACAGTTGCAGTTCAACCAGAATTAAGATAATATAGAATTAGCATATTGCATCAACAGACTATTTTTTGAAAACTGATTTATACTTATCCTTTTTACTAGCATACACATAGAATATCATACTCATAGTAAATGCTCAATAAATTCTTAAACCAATGTAATATGCTAAAATCAATTGATATTATAATAAAATGAAATATTATCTCAAATATTCATTAATTCATCCATCAGTTTAAAGATAGTTATTGTATGCTTCAAATATAGTATTTAGGAAACACTTTTTAAATTAATTTACACTTTGAAAAATGACAGCTTTCTAATGTTAATGAATGTACTTCCATAACTTTGGGCGGAAATGCTCATGTTAGGCCTTCAAAAGGCTCATATGGACTAAGACCCTAGAGGCTGCTTAGCAAAGATACACAAGCTTGTGATACCAGTTTATAAGCCTCATTTTCAAAGATTCTGTTGAGTAGAACTAAAGCAAGCCGAGGCTTTGAAATTTTTGGAAAACTAACTAGATTGTTGATGTATAGTAAAGTTTCAAAAAGACCAAATCATTTCTTCCAAGAAATAGTCATAAGTATTTGCCTACACCATCTTTAATTTGATTTTCCTTGACTCATTATTAAACTCCTTCCTAGGAAGACTCAGTATTTCTGATGTGATTGTCAAGATAGGATTTTTTTTTTCTCTTAGTGTATCAATAAAATGAACCTTTACCCTTTGCTAGGCCAATATTTCTGATTTCTGGGGATTCCTTTTAAACATTACAATCAAATACATTGTGAATATACCACTGTGTGTTTCATTGTTGAAAATAAAGCAGAGCAAAATAAAGAGATAAATAGGAAGTAAGGAGAAGTTCAAATACTTCTCCAAATTACATATTCTGTTGTTTTAAAATATTTCAATATATATGCTAATTTGTCTCATTTATTCAAACAATTTATCTTAGTTCTTTGAAAAAGAAGTTTGTCTTATCTGTTTCTTTTGTGTGAGAATCTTCTTGGTTTATGTCTTGTACTTTGAAGACAGTGATACATAGTGGAATAACTGTTATTCTCTTATTATTTGATTATGAAAATTTGTTTTTTTTTTTTTTTATAAAATAGAAAAAAACAGGAAAGGCAGAAGTTAGCACTATGTTGAAACTCTCATCCTTACAGGCTCACATTAACCATCTGGTACAGGAGCCTTGCTCCTACTCTTCCTGGTATAATTCTTCATGGCCAGACTCTTCTGAATTTTGCCCTGATACCTTTCTCTCAGAAAACACAGTATGAGATTTTGGTTTGCAGCAGTTTCATTAGTAACTAGCAATAGAGATACAAAGTGAATTTTTGTGTATCTTTGGATTCATTCATTATACAATGTACCATCCTTACTTTTATGGTTATAATTGAAAACACTAATTTCCCAGTTTTGACTGTATTTTCTGATTTTTTGTACATCTTTACTGTGTAGGACCTTTTACTAAATATTCATCTGGATAGTGTATCAGAATTTACCAGTTTATTACTGCCTTGACACTTTTCCCACGTAATATTGTATGCCCATAATTAGTGCTTCCCACTCAACATAATTATTATTAAGCATAATCATTCATTAATTATAACTCATTGTCATTTTGATTGCATATGAAAAGATAACTCTTTCATTTAGAAACTTCTGCTAACTATGATACTAACAGCTACCTCGATCTTTCTGTAAAGATAATTTTGTTTGTAGGCTACAGTTTTGTGCAAGTAGATTATAACATAGCATCTTCCTCTGAAAGCATATAGTCTTAATAGAAATATATGTAATTTTGCTTTTTTTGCTTAAATTTCACTTGCCTTTGATCTTCTTACCTGTTATATTAAATACTGGGTAGGAAAAAGTAATGTGAAAAAGTGTGGTTGGTCAAATATCATATAATTACTTTATAATCCTATATTAAAACTTAATAAATTGAAGTCTTTATGGTATATTTCTGTTTATCTCTTTTCTGGGATGAAATATTTAAATTTCCTTAACCATTTTTGCTTAAACTTCATGAATCCCAAATGCTATTAACTTAAAGGAAGAAACTTGGTGAAACAATTTTAGTCTATTTCATTAGTGCTGTAAAATTTTGTAGTACAACATAGGGCAGCTAACATCAGAGTAAACTTGGAATTAATGAGGGCAAGAAAATTCCCTAAATGCAGTAAGGTCACACCCACCCTATCCTGCTAGGACAAATTGGATAAGCAATTTCTCCTGGCACAAATATATAAAGTACTTACTTCACACAGTTCACATGTTTTTATGATAATTCTATAAGGCAGAAAAGAAATCAGAAAACATTCTATCTTTCGTGCATGACACTTCTAGCACATCATAATACTAACCCTTCAATTGTTTCATAGTATGGTCCTAACTGAAAAGTTTTCCCATGAAATAAAATAGTAGTCTTGAGTCTTTGTATTATTACAAAACAATATTCTGTTGTTGAAAGGTTACCATTAAAATGATATCTACAAGGATGAAATGTGTTCTAACCTTGTTCACCCTTTTTATCTTCTGACTTTATTTTGCTTTTATAGTTTTTTGGAGGGAGGGGAATTGTCACATAAGAAATAGACATAAATGTCCTTATGAGAAACTTTTTCTTAAAAGTTTTACATGTCCAAATTATAATTGACTAAATCATTTCTTAGAGCAACGTGAGCATTGTTTGCATGTTTCACCAGGTGCATGCATTTCGTAGATGTTGTCAGAAGGCAGGCATCTTTTATATATTAGAGACATTGATGTTCATAATAACTGTATATTAATGATACAATTGAATCATGGCATGAGCATAAGGATCAAATGTCTGGATAGTGAAAATATTAAATTCTTTTTGTTAAAAATACAGTAAAAAGAAAATAAATGGAAGGAAAAAAACTATAATTCCAATGAAGATATCTCTAGGTACTTTATTATAAATTTTTATACCTTTATTTCTAAATTTCTGAAATGAAGAAAATTAAGTACAATCTACTTATTCATTTTATGTTGATTTGTCCTAGGAAATTTGCCCAAGCTTTCTCTTATCTTCTGTAAAATATATTTTGCTTCCAAGAAGTCTTTGCTGTTGAAGCGTAATTTTTCCTCTTTTAGGTGTATGGAAAGTATCTAAGATTGTATGACTAGTACCTAAAGATAAATATATGCTTATACTTGAATTTGATAGAGAGGAGGGAAACTAGGTAGGTTTATAGAAGAAGTCTTGCATGTAATTTGCTGCAAACTGATGGTTAGGGCCTTTGTATTTGCAGCTATGAATAAGAAATTAAGGGAGGTGAATGTGTTCAGATATATAAGAGGTTTGGAGATAAATGAAAAACAATATAAGTTTTGCATAGTGATAATATTTTAAAGGTATTGATTTACTGAAAGTCATTTATCAACATTTCTTAAGCCCAAATAAGCTCTTGGACCTTAGTTCAGGTTAAAGTTAAAATGCACCAGTATTTACAATGTTTCTACCTTGATCAGTTGGCCATTAAAAATTGTTTTTAAAATATGTAATGAAATTATATAGACATTTTTGCTACTACCATGCAAATAAATACCTCATAATTCTCTTATTCTTGGGTAAATTTCTCAATTTTTAAAAGTGGATCTTCTTTCTCATGCCCTTTTTTCTTTCCACAAGTTAATAAAAAATGTCTGTATCCTAACTTTATGTGACTTTCAAGGAAAAAAAGTTCTACGATTGTTATGAGACATTAAAGAAGATGGAATGAAATTGAATGCCTTGGAAATTTTGAGTAGTACCAAAAACAAACAAGCAAGCAAGCAAACAAAGCCAGAAATAATTTGGACTGTTTTATTTTTTCCCCATCTAATATTTTAGGTACAAGCCTATGCAGAAAGTGGATGGGGTTGCAGATGGTTTTACAGGAAGTGGTCAACAGACAGGGACATCTGTTGAGCAAACTGTAATCGCCCAAAGTCAACATCATCAACAGTTTTTAGGTATGTTAAGGGAAATGCATGCAGTTGGTGTTAGGATTTTGAGGAGAACAATAGAAGTCTTTTCTCCAACAGCAGTGTCTGTTTACAATTGCTAATCATACAGAAAAGATTTTATTGGTGGGGGGTTTGGGGTGATGCTGAAACTATGCACATCACAAGATAACTCTCCTTCAGCCCTATTTTCTCATTTCACTAGAACTTATTTTTTAAAAATATAGAGCAATGAAGGGTTTCAAATGCATGTGAATTAAAAGCTTATATCTATGAATGTTTCTCAGAATTTATACTAACTGGCTTTTGTAGTCAAAATTGTTTTGTCTACGTTCAGTAGTAACTTCAAATTTAAAAAAAATTTTTTTTCCTATCCTGAATACGAAGATGGATATACGTACAGTCTCAAGTTAGAAAAGTTATTGCAAACTTCAAAAGTAAACTGTTTTTATAGCGATCATAGTACTATTTTTGTGATTTTGTAGATGGAATACATGTTGTGTGTTATTGAAATTCTTAGAAAGTAGAACTCAAACACTTTGCAGATTACTGCCATAATCAAAGGGGCAAAAGTGGACATTTAATGTAATTGACAGCTCTTCTACAAATGAGTATGCACAGTTTCCATTACAGCAGTGCAAGATGAGTAGATGCATCAGCAAGTGTGTGTGTGTGTGTGTGTGTGTGTGTGTGTCTGTGTGTGCATGTATGCAGTTTCGAGCACAGACAACTGAAATAGATTTTCAGGTAGGAACAGCTACCAAAAGTTGAAAATATTATGCAGTGTTTTCCAAAGTAAAATCCTTACATATTGTAGTGGACCTTAAAACTTTCAACAAGAATTTTGGTTTGTATTTTGTGCTTTTCTTTCAAATATAGCTTTTAAAAAATAATGAAAGCATTGGATGGGGATTTAGCTCCGTAGCATAAGTGCCTACCTGGCAAGCATGAGGTCATGAGTTCGATCCCTGGTACCAAAAAACAAAAACAAAAAACAAAAAACACAAGTGTCTTCTCTATTACCTAGATCGAAACTCTTCTGTACTTTTTGCTCCACACTTGCATTTGAACATATTGTAAGGCAGGCACCAATGTTAGTTGTCCAAAGATGAAGAAAACAGTGCACTTACTGCCGTGTGAATTCTGCCTTTCCCTCCAGGAAGGCTAATTTCTTAGTGCTCTGTATGAAGACATGTTTCACAGCCAGCCATTTGAATATAGAAAAGTAACAGAGAAGCACCTAACACATGGCACGTGTTGGTGTGTCCTGTCAAACACAAAGACTTGGTGTGACAGCAATTGGTACTATGTTCATGTTGTAAGAGATAATTTAGTTACAGAGCAATGGCATCATCTTTCACAACGGTTTCTATTAACTTAAATGTGATTTTTGTAGTTTTTGTTGTATTCTTTAACACTTTTGGCTTTATTTCAAAAATATGAACATACAAGTTTAAAGCTGTTTATTTTATATAGTTAGGTAGCATAATAATAAATGCAATTGGTACTGGCAATATTTAGATACTTTCCTTTAATAGAAACCTATGCTATTCTGTTGCCATTATAATTGTAGTGAAAATTGAGTTTCTACAAAATTCAAAAGTGTACTCCCTATATTACATTTTCTGCTGATAACGTTGCTAAATTTTGCTTGCAAAATATTAATTATGCTCTTTGGCTACTGATCACTGAATTTTTTTTTTTATGTTTTAGTCTTCTGGAATCTTTCTTATTAACCTGTAACTGACATCATCCATAGTAGCTTTTTTCCCCCCTTTGTATTGTCATGGTAACAGATGCATCACGAGCACTTCCAGAGTTTGGAGAAGTTGAAATCTCTTCTCTGCCAGATGGTACTACCTTTGAGGATATCAAGTCACTTCAGAGTCTTTATCGAGAGCACTGTGAGGTAAGCTTTTTCAAACATACTATGAGCATGAACTGTGTTTTGCCAGACAACTTGTTAAAAAATTCAGGCTTTTCTTAGGGGACTCATGAAGTCAGCATTAATTCTTTTGAACCATAATAAATTTATATTTCTTCTTGTCTGAGAGAGGTGAGGAAGGCAGGAAAGGGAGAATACATTTTATTTTCAATTTTTTAATTCTAATCTGAATTTTTTATAATTCTCTAAGTATTTTTCAGAAATATTTTCATACAGGTGGTGAGACAGATGAATAAGAGAGGTTTCTTCCCTTTTTCTTTATAATGTAACTCCCATATATAATAGGGAACTAGATAAACAAAATCTTTCACAGTCTATAGACTGGAGTACTAAAACTAAGCCAGAGAACAGACAACTCCAAATGTACTAAGATAGAACAAGTTCCGGGATTTACTATGAAGGGAAAAATCAAGACACAAACAGTGTGCATAGCCTGTAATTATCATTTGAGGAGAAAAAACCCTGTGTACCTATCACTCCATAAAGAACAAGAAAATGTTAATAGTAGTTATCTTTGTGAAGAAAACTGCGTGACTGCCCCAGTGGAGAGACTCAGTTTTTCAATAGACCCTTTTGAGTTTCACACATGTATGTGTTTTTTATTAAAGGTTATTTTTCAAATTTTTCATAAGCATTTTAAATGTTTATTCCAAGTATCATAAAGGTAAGTAAGTAGGTTGCTGTCTCTTTCTTTCAACTAAGGGTCTTGGTGTTTTTAATCCGCACTGCTGTTCTCCTTCCAACATCAGAACTGGCAACACCATCTAGGGCTGTGAGCTTTCTCCACACCAGGATATTAATGGACCTGCCACTCCTGTCACAAAGGAGACAACAGATTGTGCAGTTTTAAGTGCCTCTCCTTTTGAAAAAAGATTATATTCAGAAATTTAAATTTCAGGGGTATTTGTGGTCTGCTTGAAAGTTAATTGTTATCTTTTAGATTTCTAGGGTAGCTCTCCTGTTTACGGGCAGTGCACTATGCAGTAAGAAGTTTCAGTTTGTAACATTACAGATGGTTTTTTCCCATTGCAGAAATAAAAATTGCTTGAATGAATTTAAGTGCTTGTCAGAGATACTAGGTTAACAACCAAGGAGAAATTCTCTCATTAATACAGCGTTTGCCAGAAGTAGTTCTTCCATGCTCTATCAATACTCAGTATTTTGGGGATCTCAAAAACACTTAAGATTCATTTCTCTTCGATTACAATACTTTTCACATTTTAGAATTTCTGAATTACCCTCATTCCTGTAGAAAAAATTTTCTTTCTATATCTAACATCACATTCAGTAAACTTTTGTATATTCTTTAAACAGTTTCTTATTTCTCTGTGTTCAGATGAATCTTGCTATAAACAAATCAGCCTATACAAAAATAATATGTGTTTTTAAAGAACTTCTTATTTACTCGGTATATAAGTTGGAGCATTATTACTTAATTGCCAAAGATTTATAGTAGTATTTATTCTATATAACAAAGTATTAAAATAGTCCTTAGATTATAAAATTCTCATAATATACCAATTATCAAAAATAAATGTATCTATACAAAGAGATGATGGCATATATAATAACCTAAGGGGGAAATGATAGTATGATCCCCACTCTGTGTCCTAGTTTGAAGTGTACAACCATCTGTCATTGGCCGTTGTGATATGTATGGAAAGAAAAATTCTTTTTTTTCTCTGTTAAACTTTTAAGCTTTTGAAATATAGCTGTCTGAATCCCATAACCAATCTTGAAAATAGTCACTTGTTCTACAGAATATGAATTACTTTAATTTGTATTTCTCTATGTATTTCAAAGAAGAAGTACAATGAAAATATGTTTTACGCATTTGTCAAACTATTCACAGGAAGCTGTTAATACTTTTCTAGAGATCTGAGATATTTGTTTGAAGAGATACTGAATGTAACATGCATTGCTATTCCTTTCTTGACTTGTTTCACTGTTCCTAGTTTATACTTTTAAAGAAAATTTAATATATACCAATTTTCCATATTTTGAATTATAATTTATCCAAGATACTTTGTAAGACTAGTTTTATAGTATAATGAAAAGGCATAATTTTCTTACATTGCTATAGCTGGTTTTTAAAAATGTACACATAGTGATCTTACAGCAGTCTCATGGATACCCATATGTAAAGTTTTAGAGATTTCTCTTACAATATGCCTGAGCTATAAGTAAGAAAGCAGGTCTAATAATGCATTTCTGAAGAAGACTTTCATTTTCCCATTGAGTTGAGAAAAACCTGTGTTCTTTTTCCTTTGAAAGCTTCCATTTTGTATTTTTGAATCTATTTATTTGCTGAGGACTATTAATTTTTTCCACTTTCACTATCTAACTACTTGCAGCCTTCCCTACTAATTCTTAGAAAGTACCTCCAACAGATGTTGATTAATATTTGAGCTAGTCTTAGAGTGTTTTTAGTATCCATTTCCCTCTATCACATTTTAGGCCAGATCCTCACAGATGGCACAGACTCTATAGAATTATGATGTTCTAGTTTGCCTCCCCTTCTCCAAATACTGAGATGGATGCTAGTTTGCCCCCTATTTTCTCTGCCTTCTGTCAATTTTTAGGTCATGATGGTTGTACCCTACTTGTTACTTTTTGATGATATCAAGCACATTATACTACTTCTGACTTTTAATACTCAAAATAATCACAGAATTATGTTCTTTGCATAAACAAGTTGTTTTTAGTTTCATGACTTTTTATCTGAAGGCTAAATTATTAATTGCAATGGCAGGTTAAAATTACATATGATCATCAAAGATAATGGGGAAAGTGAGATTTTAGCATCATCAATTAAGCAAAAGGAAAGAAGGAAAGAAAAAGAAAAGAAACAAAAAGAACTTGGTTACTAGGAAAATTGTTCTTGAAGCTAAAATTAAGGAGAAAACAAAGGTGAAGTTGTCAAGATTTTAAAAAGGTGAAAGATGAAGATCCTTTTTGGGGGGTATTCTGTGATACTTTTAAATTTGTTATCTGTTTATTTTTTTGGTCCTGGGAATCAAACTCATGATATCACGCTTGTCAGGCAGTCACTTAAGCGCTGCTGAACTAAATCTCCAGCCCTCTGTGATACTTCAGTAGTTGAAAGATGGCATTATTTTGGAAGGTGAAGAATTTAAAAAATAAGCCCTACTTATATGAAGTTTATCACATTCATTAAAGCTAATTAGTTGAACTATAATTATTCTTATTGTGGAAACAATTTGGCTCAAATATATCTCATTTGATGACATTATTTTACCTGTTCAAATGTGTACAGAAAAAGATACTAAAAAGCTTGGCACCTCAGAGATTAAGCATTGAAAATAATACCATACTTCACAAGTAGGAATCTACTTGTTAGCTGATATATGAAAAGATCCTGTGAGTTGGCAGAAATGAGCTTAGATTGTCTGATGTTGAATGCATGATGAATCTGACCAAAGATGCAGGCCTGCTGTGCCCATTTGCTGCCCAGAGAAAAGCTGGAAGCTTGCCCTCTCCATATTTCCTGCCCAGCCATGGCAGAAAGGACCCTGGAACCCATGATCAGCAGCCTTAGCAGAGTTAACTCATCCCTAACTGTATCTACACAGATGAACACTTCCTTCTCTTCGCTTTTACCCTATTTGATGGCCAGTGATCATCTAGCCCAAAGAGGAAAGATGTGAAAAAAGGACTTTCTACCTTCCCTGGCCTGAGATTAGTTAGCGTGTCAATACCATGGAGGAAGAATGAAGCAGTAGGTAAAGGAACGAAAAAGAAGAAAGAAAATATAAAGGAAGAAAAGCAATCATGAAAATGGAGAAGAAGGAGAGAGGTGAAAGTGAGGATAGCAGAGGAAGCCGTTATGGTAGGAATAAAAGTTACCTTGCTTAACATTTCAAGAGTTATTTTTGCCTTTTACTTTCTAACTCATCTTAACTTATGAGCCCAACGTTTACCATGTACAACAGTTTTGTTGTATTAGGCTGTCTTCATGAGTGATACTATGATGTAATACTAATACTGTTTTGTTTTTCTAGGCAATATTGGATGTTGTTGTGAACCTTCAGTTTAGCCTGATAGAAAAATTGTGGCAAACATTCTGGCGTTATTCTCCCTCTACTCCAACTGATGGCACTACCATTACTGAATCAAGGTCAGAATCAATATGCTTTCCCAGTTCATTTTCCTGACTGAGTAGATATGTCACAGCCAATAAATTAGAAATATGTATACCAGTTGTGAAACTTACCTAATAACATTAAGTCAATAGACTGATGCTTTGGCCATTTGCAAAATAAACCACAAACTGCTCTCTTGAGGTTTCAGTGTGTATATATAGTTCCCATTTTTATTGATTTGGGGAACTATAATAAAGCTATTTCATCCTCATGGAATTACTATCGTATCTGCCTTTCAGACTATCAGAAAATATAAATGTACATAGACACCCGTGGGGGAATATTTTATTGGAAAAAATATATCTATATCTCTAGCCATATGGCACCAGTGCAATGGTGATACAGTTTTAACTTCAGGAATATTTGATAAACTATTTTTAAAGTCCATTTTCTTTTTTATCCTCATTTGCCATCTATTTATTTGCTACATTTATTCACACCAGCAATCTGAGTGAAATAGAAAGTCGACTTCCGAAAGCAAAGCTGATAACTCTGTGCAAACATGAGTCAATCCTGAAATGGATGTGTAACTGTGACCATGGGATGTACCAGGCTTTGGTGGAGATTCTCATCCCCGACGTCCTTAGACCTATTCCTAGTAAGTTAATTACAGACAACTACGGATGCTTTTGTTCTCATACATTCCACCCAAGAAGTTTTGGGAGATGATATTGCAATCTGGAATGATCCTAATTTCATTTAAGTTTGTCAGACAGAAAACACACAACACAGACTATTGCATGACAGCAGCCTGGAGCAAAACTGTAGTAAAAGGGGGAAAATTATCTGTTTCCCAGTCTTGTGTGAAAAATTAAAAGAAGAAAAGACCCAAACTATAGATGTGATAGCCCCAATAAACTAATTGTAAGAATACTCTCAGTCAATCATGAAAAACTTATGCTACTAAGAAGAAAGGCCCCTTCCTTTACCCTCAAAAAATATTGAAATCTGTAACTGCGGGCCAGCCCTTTTCATGATTTGCTTTCAATTTGAAATGAATTCATCTTGATTTCTAGTGAAGTTGAATGCCTTTATAAAAGCATTTACTGTGTCATCTACATCATGTTAAGTGTAACAAATTCAGTGTCTGTTAACAGTAATGATTAACTGGCATTTCGAGAGAAAACTCCATGTAAATACATAAGCATTGTATCCTCAATGTAAAGCAAATGACATACTTAGGTAGTTTAGATTAGATTATCTTTTTAAGTACTGTTGCTTTTTAAACCACCTTCTAGCAAACAAAGTTATTTTCTACTACTGTCAATATAAATGCTACTATAGATACTGTTACAAGTAGTTGAAACTATTTTATGTCTTCATATGTATGAGCCCATAATAGTGACCTTAAATATATATAAAGGAAGAGGTGTCTTCTAGCTTGTGAAATTGGCAACTATGTAGCTCAAATACACTGTTCACAGATGATTTCCATTAAATTATTTTAGAAAATTTGTAAGTTGGGCTTAATAGAAGAAAAGGAAAATATGTTAACATTTATATGTTTATACATAATAACAGTGGAAGGTATTAATTCTTTAGTTTGTTTCTCATCACCGTAGAGTGGATGCTTTGGCATATTTATGTATAATATCAGTGAACACACCTGTGAATTAATGAAAGACTAAGTCAATATAAAACAAATCCTGCTGTTATTGCCTCAAATTTTTATAAATTGCTAATGTGTTTTACTCTACCTACCCCAAGTTTCCTAACTATACATTAACAAAAATGGTAATTGTTTTGGAAAATTTCCCTATGTAAATTCTCTACTGGCTTATGTTCCAGAATCCGATCTTCTTTGTTTCTCTCTTGCTCCCTATGCTCTGAATGATAATCTCCAGAGATGTTTCAAAGAAGCTGCCTAGGGACAACTCATTAGGTTAAGACATCTTGCCACCAACATATAATTTCTCTCATGAGATAGAAGAAGAATTATCAGTGAATGGTTTCTTTTTGAGACAAATGAACATCAATATTCATTAAACAATTCTGAAATCTGTGGCTCTGTGCCAGAGTCTAAAGACTTTAACCTATGAAGTTAACACTTACCTAATTTAAATCAGATGTCAATTTTAGCTGACTTTAAGTTTCAGAATTTAAGTACACAGTAGTACACTTGCTTTTTGTGTTTTGAAAATTTCTATTTGAAAAACTGTTTCTGTTGAGTAGTTTGTCACTACATTCAGCAGAAAACTAAATAGTTTTATTTCTCAGAAATTATAAGATGTGTTAATGTATCCTCTGCCAAGGAAATTGGGAAATTTGCACTATAATTTAGATAGCTGTCTATTTCTCATTAGTATTTTAAAGCTAATTTTCAACAAGTTGAGACAAGTCAGCTTTGAAATAGATTTTAAACTGTCCACTTATGAGTCTTTAAAAGTTGCCAGAATCAATCTGCATGATTTTGATCTTGCATGAATCTCTATAGAGAGAACAAAACTTAATTTCATTTTTAAAAACTGTATTTTCCTGGCTACTAGTTTTCACTCTACCATTTTTCCGTCCAGATGGGATTTCTTTTTTTAGTTAAAAAAAAAAAAAGTCCCACATCACACTAATTTAAATCTGACTTGAAGCTACTATATTCAATACAACGTATCTAAAAAAAAATTAGTGTAAAGAATTATAGAAGAATTCAACTGGTAAAATATAAATGTTTAATTATGAGCATAATTAAAGGTGACTCAGAATGTCATTTAGTACAAAAAACTAAAAAGTTACAGTCATTTAATATATAAAACATACCTTTTGATTTTATAATCTTCCTTGTGTCATTTGTCTAGATAAAACAAGCCCATATTAAATTTTTAAAAATATTTTGTTCAAGTTCTCAGGGTTTTTCATGAAATAATTATTATATACTCACGGTAAGAAAATGGAAAATGCATCTTGCCAAATTGAGTCTTGAAGAAATCTTTAATGAGTTTCATAAAGGATTATTTTTCACTCTTTTTCATTTCCATTCATGCCTGCACTCCATGGTTCTAATGCATAACAACAGGATAATATTTTTATTTATTTTTTGTTTTTTTGGTGAATGTGGGAAACTACGAATTTCAAAATATTAGTCGTCTACAAATTTCCAATTCAACATTTCCAATTCTTGTCTTAAGACTTTCCCTTATGTTAAGTGTTCTTCCTAATCAAAATTTTGGTAATTTCAATCTCTTATTTCATTCAAATACTTAAATTAGAATACAACACACACACGTAATAGAGAAGCATGTGAGATTCACTTGAGCATAGAAAGGGGGAAATAAAACCCAAAGTATTTATTCTTGAAAACAGTTGACCAAAAATGGACCTTCTTTTTTTCTTAGATTACAGATTTTTATATCTACTACATGGTAATGAACCTACAGAGATTAATTTTTTGTTGTAGGTTATTTAATCTCTAATTTATTAAATATCTAAATCTATTCCCCCACAGTGTGGAAATGTGGGTACAGAAGAAGTAAAATTCACCTGAATAAATAACTTGTGGAGCAGTCTCAGTAAGCGAATCACAGTTAACTGTGATAATTGAAGATGCTTCTAGTCATTATAAAATCTTCTGTTATGAGCCTTATCTCTGTTTCAGGTTTTAACAAATAAGTAAAGAAGCTAGAATAATTATTTTAGTAGTAGCTTAAGAACTTTAGTCTCTGTAGTAGCGATTATATCACACTGATATTTTATATTTACCTATCAAATGGAGTAGAAAGTAATTACCCTAAAATTTCAAGTCAGACAACTAAAAAAATTACCTTATTTTTCAGCAAGAGTTAGAGGCAAATATTGTAATTCATGAGTTTTAGTGTAAGTAGATGCTTAGAGAAAAACAAGAAAGCTTTGCACTATATCTTTTTAAACTAAAAATATGAAAATAGATTAAGAGCTTTAAAACAATCAATATAAAGAATATATTTAGCCTTTGAGCACAAAGCTGCTAATAAAAAGGGTGTTTTGTCCAAGATAGAAATTTCCATAAATATATTCACAACTGGTATATGTTGCTATAAGCAAAAATGTTTTCATGTTTATCCCTAACAATGTATCCTAAGTTTCTGGTAGTAAAATAGCTTTAAAAGAAAATAAAAGCACAGAATATAATTATTGGATGCTCTAAGAAGTTAGAAATATGTTGAAGTTTCATCCAGGAGAACAGTATAAATTGTTTGTGCTGTATCAGATGTTATATACATCTTCCCTTATTCTAGCATAAAAACCTTTTTTGTTGTTGTTCTGCCTTCATTCTTCATCATTTTTAGGTGCCTTGACCCAAGCCATTCGAAATTTTGCAAAAAGCCTTGAAGGTTGGCTTTCCAATGCCATGAACAATATTCCACAGAGAATGATACAAACCAAGGTACACTTTATGCTTTTACTCTTTCTTTTGTATTTAAAAAACATCTCTTCATGTAAACAATTATCTTATAGTCATTATAGCAGGAAATATATAATATACACAGCTAGAGATGTTCTAATCTATAGATTTTCCACATACCCTTAAGTATTCTAGTGTCTACGTTATCATATACATACCATGTTGTGTTACTTTAGGTTACTAATCTGTGAACATACCCCTATGGCAAGAATGGACTGAATCATTATTTTCTGAATTTTGGTATCAAAAGTCACTCACATTCATGCCCTTTAGTCAGTGAGTCTCTTTGGTAACATAAGTAGCTGCCAGTTTTTTCTGCTTTGCTTATAGTGTGCAATAAAACTGTCTTGTAAGAGTGTTATGTCGGGGCTGGAGATTTAGCTCAGTGGCATAAGCACCTGCCTTGCAAGCAGGCAGTCATGAGTTCGATAAAAATGAAAAAGACAAAAAAAGAGTGTTATGTCAATTGAACCAAGGCACCAAGCTATGGGAAACAATGTAAGATTCCTCTCTCAGGATATATGAATTTCCCCACAGTTCCATACAATCCTAAACATCTCATATCAAGATAGAGCATTCTTTGCCTTGTGTTCACATTTGATCACTCAACCAACTGATCTTTTTTATCATTTACTTAAATGTCCATAAAAACTTAATGTAGTACCATATATTCCTGGATGTTAAAGTTCTTAACATATTAAAGGGCTAGATTCATCATATCTAATAAGTGTGTTACCGATTTTCATAAATTCTAAGAATTAAATATTTACCTAGGCTTTTTTTTTTTTTTTTTTGGCGTTAATTTTGTTATCTTTCAACACAAACTAGTATGTTCAGGATCCCACAAGAAACAAATGGCACATGGGGGAGGGGGCGTTATGAAGACAGTTTGAGTTTATTCACAGTGCTGTGAATAAAGTTGAGAAAATCAAGGAGGAAGAGTGGAGGATCTCCTGGCTTTTCTACTTAGCTTTAGAAAAAGGAAGCAGTTAGTGTTCAAACAGGAAGAGAGAACAGAGGTTGAAAGGTCTGATACTCTAATCCCTGGGAATTTTCATCCATCAGTCCCCTATCAGTGTGTGTCATTCATCAAACCAACTGGATCTGGAGAGCAAGGAAGGACATTAATGTAGTTTTGAGTTTTATTCATGTCCCCCTTCCTGGGCACACAGTGGGACAAACAAGAACAGCAAGTAGATTTTGACAGGCAAATGATCATTTCCTAGAGAGTCCTTTTAAAAAATTCAAATTCTGAAAGAGTTCTAGTTGCTTATCTCTGATAAGTGTACTACTATGTTATGAAAACTATGAATTCTCTCATTTTGCCTCAGAGTTAATACGTTGCTTTACAAGTTGTAAGGGTGCATCTGAACATAGGGCTCTGAAAGTATTTTTTATATAATTTTTAAAATTGGGACTTTGTATTTTGCTTTTCCAAATAAAGGAAATGTTTTTATTTGCCTGGTTTCTATTTGACTATCCTAAAAAAGAGTGAAAAGGAAATGAAAAGCATTTTTTCCCAAGTTCACTAGACAAAGTCATTTATTTCTTGATGTGGATGAGTAGTTACTTGCGAGACTGGTTTAATTAATGCTTCCCTCAGATGTTGAAGAATGTGGGAGTTTGTTTTATTCTTGACCTCAATATGCTCAAAAAGAAAATAATTCTTAGTTTAAGAGATTTAAATGCTATAATTTAAAGTAAACTTGCCAAATGAATTTGAAATAAGTGTCAAAAGGAGGAAGCCTTTAAATTTGGCAGAAGAAGAAAGATCTGAAGATTGCAGTGGTTTGTTTTACTGAAAGGAAAAGAAATCTGTGCTTGCTTGGATTTCTTTACAGGTTGCTGCTGTAAGTGCCTTTGCCCAGACTCTGCGAAGATACACATCGCTCAATCACCTGGCCCAGGCAGCTCGCGCAGTGCTTCAGAACACTTCCCAAATCAACCAGATGCTCAATGACCTCAACCGGGTCGACTTTGCCAATGTCCAGGTATTCTTGTTTTCTTAAGAGATGTGTCTTTGGAAGAAAAATATTCTCTTTCTCTTTAATCCTATTATTTGTCTTTTCTGTTATATTTTATATAGAATTTTTCATATAAGAGAAACCATGCAGTATTTGGGCTTGTGTGTTGAATTCCTTCACTGCACCCTATTTGCTTTTCTAAGTTAGGGTCATCAAATTTCTTTTCAAAATCTCAAGTGTACACAGGCTGCATCTCTATCTACAGCATCCCCAAAAAGAAGTTTTATCCAGCTATGACTTTACAGCACCTGTGTTTTGTGGCTACAGTGTGCTAAGATATATAGTCCTAGAAGGCAGCACAGTACATCACCAGGGATTACTAAATAGGCAAAGAGTAAGAAGACCACAGACATCAAAGCTAGGCAGAAATTCAATTCTCTCACCTACTGTCTGTGAGATCTTGGACAAGGTACTTTACTCAGTGCTTTACAAATAACCCACCTGGAGGGAACTAACACAAAGTTTTATGTAAAATTTGCCGCAGTAATATTTGTTCACTCAAAAAGAATTAGGTACAATAAGTTGGGCTACATTACAGTTTCAATTAAAAAAAAATCTTTTAACCTCATTATCAAATTGCATTATTCGCTTATACTTTAAAGTACACTTCTAAAAATAGGTAATTTCAGAATAATATTATAGAATTCTAACAAATATTTTATTTCTGATACTAAAGAAATAAACCTGATTGTCACCATATTTTAAAAAAATTGCTAACCTAATGCATAACAAACAAAAAAGTTACATAAGCTGACCATAATCAAAATTTGAAACTTTAGGAAGAAAGTGGAATGATAACCCACAAAATGTTCAGAAGTTTTGCAAACTGTGTCTGATAAAGAACCTGTGTATAAAGCTGGGCAAGGTAGCTCATGCCTATAATCCCAGCACTGGAGGATGAGGCAAGGGATCCCTGTGAGTTCAAAGCCAGCCTGGGCCACATAGGGAAACCCTGCCTCAAAACAAACAAACAAACAAACAAACAGAACTTGTGTGCAAAATTATTACAGCTCAGTAATTAATAACCTGATTTTAAAATGACAAAAAATCTGAATGAACATGAACTTATTCAGTAAGCACATAAGATGTTCAATGTCATTAGCCACCAGGGAAATTCAGGTAAAACAAGAAGATACTACTTCAGACATACCGAAATGGGTATAATAACAAAGACGGCTAATAATCACCGTAAGGAAGGATGTGGAGAAACTGAAACCTCATACACTGCTGATATGAAGACAAAATGCTACAAACCCCTTTGGGAAAACAGTGTGGCATTCCCTCAAATATAGAGTAAAGTAAAAATATAGTTGAAAGATTGCTAATTCTAGATTTATTTATAAAAGTAAAGAGTTAAAAAAAAGTCTGTTTTGAGATCTATTATATAAATATGGTATATTCATTCAATGAAACAAACTTATTCTTTGAATAATAAATATAGCTCTGTATTTCCTTATAGAAAAAGACAGCTATATAATTATAGTAAGCAGCACATTTAGCAGAATATATATGACCCTCATTTAGCGTAATATAAAATTTAAATAAATACACATAAACATGAATAAGTAAAATATTAGACATGTTACATGTTACATATGCAGAAATAGCCAAATATGCATGTATTATAACATAGATATATACATAGATATAACATAGATATATACATGGATATGTAAAGGTTATAACAAAAACATGTTATTCCTACAGTTTAGATATTATTGATATTCTGTTCTATTTTTCTTATTTGTATTTTCAGGGTTGTTTTTGTATAATCATAATGTACTTAAAATATTTAAAAGTGATATTTAGGAGCTAACAGCTAGAAAAATTAGAAAAAATAGAAAGTGATTCAATTAATTTTATTGTTGAAAATTGTAAAGTAAATCAAGTTTGAATCAATTTGCATTTCAAATGCCTCTGGGTTGAAATGACCTTAAAATAGGTAAAATCTGGGGGTGAGGTAAGATGCTAGAACTAAAAGAATGTAAATTAAAGATTTATTAGTTAAAAAATTTCAACTTAATTAATTTAAATGAGCTTGTTCTCTGAAAGCATATAGAATAAAAGCTGTACAAACATTGTTCAGAAAAATTATATACATTTCACATTATTATATCTAAAATTAAGACTTTTACAAACACTTTTTCAAAGAAGCCCATCTGAGCCTTATGAACCCAATTTTAAAAGTCTTGTTAAATTTTATTTCTCTAATTTTATACTCAGGGAAACCGAAGCTCATTTAGATCAAATTACTGCTTGAGGTTGGTTCAGTTGTCTGAGGACATAGATTTAAATCTTTTGTGTTTTACTCAAATATTGTTTTGGCAAAAATTTATATTTTGACCTCAAAAAAATGGAGTTTCTTCCCTTTAAGTTTAAATATAGCATAAGATAGGAAACATCTTCCCAACCCACCAGAAGGAAAATTGAGATAGTTAGATTCCTTGGCAGGTAGCATATCTACATTTTCCCAAGTGTGTTTGTTGATGTTGTTATTTCCAGTGCTGTGAATTAATTTGCATTCATAGCTTTGCCTTGATAGCTCTTGAGATAACCTTTAAGGATTTCTGTTCCCAGTGTCTTCCAACTTTTTCTGTCCTATCCCCGGTATCTCCACTGATATGTTTGGTTTTTGTTTAATCTTGAAGGGCCACTTTTGTCCAGTTGAATCTGTTTATCCATGTGCCTTAAATCTCAGATGAATCAATTTTAAAATTTTATCTCACAGTTCAGATTTCTGCTTTTCTTAAATAATCATGCAATCTACTTTCTTAATCAGATAATCAATGTAGAGAAACCAAAACCCATGCTTACCAGGTTGTATCAAGTACCAGAATGAGCACAGAGAAATACTGAACTCTTGAAGCTTAAAATGTGGTTTTCTTAGCAACTGTCAAGTAGTTGTTCATTTCACTAATTCATTTAACTCTTTGCAGCTTGTATTAAAATCCCCATGTGTGTGCTGGTTTGTGTGCTGACATTCAGTTGAAAGATAGTTGAACTTTTCCTTTGCTGCCCATTAACTGTCCCAGGAGCAGGCTTCCTGGGTGTGCCAGTGTGACGACAGCATGGTTCAGAGGTTGGAAACAGACTTCAAGATGACTCTTCAGCAGCAGAGCACCCTGGAGCAGTGGGCTGCGTGGCTGGACAATGTGATGATGCAAGCACTGAAACCCTATGAAGGAAGACCCAGTTTCCCAAAAGCTGCTAGGCAATTCCTGCTGAAATGGTCTTTCTACAGGTACTCTAGCAAGTGTGCATCTGTGCATGCCTTTCAGACAAAGAAAAGAAATGAGTATCAACTTTCTGTGGTAAACATTTTCAACCCAACTCAATTGTTTTGTGAAAATGAACCAGGAAGACCTTTCTGCTAAGAAAGGAAATCTTACTGGCTCAAAGCCCTAGAAGTTGTCTAATAAAGATAGCTGAGATTACAATCTAGAGAAGCTGTCAGCAGTCAAGAAAAGACCGAAGTCCTTCCTTTTTATAATGTACATTGCTTGGGCTTTTTTTCTTGAGACCTTAGTGTAACTCTTTTTCTATGCAGTTGTTGTTTATTTATTGTGCAGTCCTAGGGATTGAAACCAGGACCTGGTACATGGTTAGCAAGCGCTCTACTGCTGATTTGCATTCCCACCCCAACGCTACTCTTTTGTTCTGTTTAATGATCCCAAACTATTGTCCTTCCACCAGTAGCATCACTGTCTCTTGTAAACACACCAGAACCTTTGCCATTCCTTAAACCTACCTAAATCAGAATCTATGGAGGTAAAATACAGCAGTCAATATTTTGAACACCTCCAGCTGATTCATATATATGCAAGGACCATGTAGGTAGTTTTTTAATCTTAAAAACTATAACAGTTTTCATACTTAACTGCAAATCAGAAATTAGAATTAATATTTTAAAAATTCTAGGTGTCTTTTGAGACCTACTAAATCAAAATTTTAACAGTTAAGACGTAGTGATTAGGAATGGATATTATCAGGAGGAAGGTTCTTTTTTTTTTTTTTTTTCTAAAAAGATCTGGTGATTCTGATGCATGACAATATCTAGAAGATAGTACCATAGCTTCTTAATAATATTAACCATTTTTAACTAAAATAATATAGATAGAAGTGTATATTTTTGTGTACATAGAAACAAAAGGGCTTCTGAAGGGAAAGAACTTTCTGATTGCATGATGTATGACAGCAAACATTGGGATAAACTGTATCCTCTAGCCCTGCCACAAGGCTTCAAACAACATCTGTGATCTGTGTGGGTCAGCATTGAGATGATGTATATGCAGGATAGAATTGCAGAATGGATTTCTATTTTATAAGATAAAGGTAAATAAGTAATATTTTTTAACCTGGGGATTTATTCTTCTGTTACATGAATTTATGTTTTCCTTCTTTAGACAGAATGCAGAGTTCTAATTTGGGAACATCTTCTAAGAGGATTTCAGATACTTCCCTATTTGCTCAGGGGTCATCATTTTATTCATATTTTTTCCAGAAAATAATATAAATAGTACATGTGCTTCATGAATGATTGATTAGGCACCAATAACACTGACTGGCTCTTCTGAAACTTACATGATCAAAGTCTGTCTTTACCCAGAAAAAAATCAAGGGTTTTCTTTTTTCATATCTGTTGCTTACTATGTTGTTAGTTTCAGACTTACTTTTACTCCTTCTTTGGATTATTTTCTCCTCTATATTTAGTTGATATCATTTTAGGAATACAGAGCCTTCATTTCCACAGAGATCTTTTCTAGGTATCTTGAAAAGAGAGAAAATTATTTATTTGTGCTTCTTGTTCTTTGCAGATATACAAACTCAGTAGATTATCACTTGCCTGCCCTCTGTCCTCCCTGAGCTGAGGATAATAGGGTTGTTATTATTAGACACTATTATAGTTATTATTTTCACTTCAAAAGGACTTAAAGGCATATAGTTTAAGGCCACAGAAGAGAATCACATCAAGACAGATGCATACCTCCTGCTGGTAGGCAAAGTCAATGGTTTACAAAGTTAAGACCCTTTACTGTCTGGACTGTTTTTTACTAAGGCATAAAATGCATACCGAGTAATAAGAACTGTATTCACAAACCATCAGAGAAGCAGAATTAGAGTACTTTAAAATATTTTTGACATTATAAATTCCGAAATTTGGTAAATTTGTAAATGCCACTGTGAATTCAGAAGTCTTCATATTCTGATATCAGATACTTAATCTCATAATTTCTAAAATTCTATACTTAGAAATATAGACATGAATTGGCAGATAATTGTGGTAATGGCAGTTGATATATTGCTGCAAACATAATCTACTTGATATCTCTTTTCCTAACCTGGCTTTGTATGGCTCATGTTAACTCTCTAGAGGGTAGAAAAACCAACACTGCCTTTTTTGAGCCTTGTGTTGTGGGGAAAACAGATGAGAGAATCCCTTAGAGCCACCTTGAAAGTCTTTCAAATAGGGGCTGGGGATTTAGCTCAGCGGCATAAAGCACCTGCCTTGCAAGCAGGCAGTCATGAGTTCGATCCCCGGTACCGATAAAAAGGAAAAAGACAAAAAAAAAAAAAAAAAGTCTTTCAAATAGTATGTTGTTTAAAGAACAAAATTCAGGTTGGGGTATAACGTACTGATAGACTGTTTGTCTGACATGTTGAAGGCCCTAGGTCCAGTCTCAAGCACTACAAGATACAGTGCTAATAAGAGAACAAAATGAAGGCCAGGCAGGGTGGCAGATGCCTGTAAACCTAGCACTCAGGAGGCTGAGTCATGAGGTTTGCCTTGAGTTCAAGGCCAACATAGGCTACATAGCAAGACCCTATCTCAAAAAATCAAGAACAAAATGCAGTTTTGATACTATGACTTGAAAAAGAGCATAGGGAACCTAGTTTGTCCACAAATACTAGACAGAATGAATCTTCCAAAAGGAATAGTATTCTTTTTGAATTAACTGTTACAGTTTTTTCAGAGGGAGTTCACATGAGGGTCACAGGTATTGGTGCTCTCATTTCTCTTCCTATGAAGAGAGGATTCCAGGATTTGCATCTTTAAACATGTAGTGAGGCACGTGTGTTGAGTAATGTGCTAAGCTATATATTCCATTTTCGCACCATAAATTATGAAGATAAATACACTAAGGCATTTTTCCATTATAAAATAATTAACCATTATAAAATAATTAACATTTACCACTCTGATTTTAAAAGTAGTTGAGTACATGGTAACAGCATAAACATATGACAGTAATTTTATTACATGTTTATTAGTATTTTTTAAAGGTAGGAATTGTAATTGTAAGGTAGCAGATTTTAAAAATGTTCCAAGAGAACTCAGTACATTTTATACACACACACACACACACACACACACACACACATTTAGTACATTTTATATGTTTATATTAAATAAAATGACTGCCTAATTATTCAAAAATTTCCAATACACTTGTGATATCCAAAGACCTTGTCATAGCCAACAAGAAGAGGCTCAGTTAATATAGTGACCCCGGAACTTACTGTTGCTCACTGTCCTCCTCGCCTCGTGGTGAGCAAGTCGTAGTTCTGCCTCAGGATCTTTGCATCTACCCTCTTTTCTACTAGGAAAACTTCACCTGTGTGTTCTTACAAATCTTTCCTCACTTCAGTGCAATTTCTGCACAGATCATCATCTCTTAAGAAAAAAATCTTTCTGAAACCTCAACTTAAAATGCCCATTCCCATTACTGTCATATTTTTAAACTTGATTTGTAGGATTTATCTCTACCTAACTTCATATTTTATATACACTGTATATTAATTGGCTTCCTCTTTTACTAGTTGTGAACTCTGCTGAAACCAAAGTCATGTCTAACTTGGTCTAAAACAAGACTGTAGCACAGAAGGGGAGCACAGGAAATATCTATTGAACGAATAAGTGTGAATTCTTTTGCAAAAATTAATTAACCTGTCTGTAACGATATCAGAAAACTTCTTCCTGTGAACATTTTCCTTGATCAATTACATGATTTCAGTATTTTATAATTTAACAGAAATATAAAGGCCTAAAATTTCAACTTAGGAATAAATAATCATTTATTTTATATGTCATATTTATACTGGAAAGATTTATTAATAGTCCACTGACTCAGGATTGTTTTTCTACAATATAATTAATGTCATATTTTTAAACAGATATTTCATTATTAAATTAGTATGCGCTTGGATTAGAAAATTTTGGAAAACACAAAAACTGCCACAATAATAAACTAAAAACCCATAGCTTTACTATTCAGAAGGAAAAAACACTATCAAAACATTTATTTTAGTATTAAATAAAATTGGGATCCATTTGTTTATCAAAGATTGTTATGTTTTTCCCTGAACATTTTCATTTCTCATTGTATGGTAAGCATTTCTTGTCATTAAATACCTTTGGAAACCTACAGAGGTGCCCTCCCAGATCTCCAAAGGATACGCAAAGTGGAACCATGTATGGCTAACTGTACATGCATGGACTCTTTCTTTCTCTCTCTCTCTCTCTCTCTGTCTCTCTCTCTCTCTCTCTCTCTCTGACATACACACACACACACACACACACACACACACACACACACACACTTTTGCTTTTTCCTATACATATGTGCATGCCTAAGATGAAGTTTAATTTATAAATTATATGTGATAAGAGATTAACAGCAATAATAATAAAACAATTTTAATAATGTACTATTACAACAGTTATATGAATATTTTTCTCTCTCAGTCTTATTGGACTTGTACTTATGCTTGTGATGGTGTGAGATGATGCAGAGATGACATAAGATAAATAATGGGCCATTGTAGCATAGTGTTAGGCAACACGGTACGAGTTACTTAGCGCCAGCATGTAACGCTCACACAGCTGGCCTGGAGAACCAGTACAGTCACTAAACAAGTAACAGGTGGGAAGTTCAGACAGCATGGGCATAGTAAACAAAAGGATTCCCATCTTGAGCAGGACAATGCAAGGCTGCATAAAGTTTCATCAAGTTACCCAGAATGGTGCATGCTTTTAATTATGACTATTTCAAAAATTTTTCATTTAATACTTTAAGACCGTGATTGCCCTAAGTTACCATAGGTAGCTTAAATCAGGGCAGTTTTACTTTCTGTGAATAAACAACTTACTCCATTATATGTGTGTTTCATACATTAAACATATTCTTACTCTCTTAAACATTCAGATGTTTTTTGATGTTTCAAAAGAATTTTTAAAATTTATGTAATGATTATCTTTTTAGACAATTGTATGTATATCTTAAAATAAATCTGGGTAAAAGGGTATGAATGCTTTGAAGTAACTATAGCTGTTTCAATGAAGTGTGCCATTTCAATGCCGATTAAGTATCAGGTAGTCTTATTTATTTAGTGGTAGGATTTGTTTTAACTAGGCACGGAATTTCCATGTTAATGAACTCATACATTTTGATCCTTCGATTCAATACAACTACCTTTTAAACTACTACATAAAATTCCATATTCCACTACTCCTTGGTGAGCCAGCCATATTTTATTTCATTAATATCCTACTGGTGTTTAGTTTTTCTCACTAATATAAATATTGCTGCAATTACAACGAGCTTTGCTGATTTGCACAAATTTCTAGAATTAGAATTGCTAAGTCAAAGAATTTTATATTTTCAATTTTGACAAATATTATCTAATTTCTATAGAAAATTTTGTAAATTTATACATGTGGAGACAATACGTTCTTTTCTAAAGCATTCTGTAACACTGGGATTTCTAATCTCTTATAGTATGGTAGGAAGGATGTGATATTTTACTTTAATTTCCATTTTTAAAATTTCAAATAAAATTATATTTTTGTGTGTTTTTAAACTTTTTGTCCCTTCTGGGCTGCATTTTAAATATTTACTTCAATAAGATGGATGGAATTAGGAGTTTAAAATATAACAATATTTTGGTTTTTTTTTTTTTTTTTTTTTTTTTGCTTTTTATAATGAAGGACTCTCTGCTCTTAGAATTTTTTTGTAGGAAAAGTAATATTTAATTTGCAATAGATTCATATAATTATTTTTACAAGTGAATGATGTGTCACTAAATTTTAGGAAAGGAAAGAAAATTATGATCAAAATTTTTTCATATATGTTCTGCACATAGGTATAGATGATGTTCATGTATTTTTAATTAACATATACAGTAGAGATCTAAAAAAGGAATGATTTCTAATGAATTATCCAATGGAACTAGCATTTATGATAATATATCATTAATTCTAATATATGTAGCAGTGTAGTAATGAGTACAGTAATACTTCAGTTGTCAAATAGTTTGTTCTAAATTCATGTTCAGACTCTGAAAAGTTCAAGATCTGAACATATTTTTCAAATAATAACTAATGGAAAACAAACAAACTAGTTCTGAAGACCAAAACTTAAATTTATGAATTCATTTTTACAGGACTTTAACAAATTTTGCAATGATTTCTTTCTTTAACTCTGTTGTGATTCTCATAGTTTTTCTCTTAGCTTTCCTTTGGGTATCACTGACTTTCTTTGGAGCCATGGTTATATTTTATGCCTATTAAGTACAAAAAATAAAAGCACAATGATTAATGTTTTAATGCAACAACACAAGTATTATATATGTTGTCTGACCAAGAGTGGCACTTAGACTGAAGCATCACTCCTTTGTGTCAGCTGTGGGAAGCAACCTGTGCCTGACTCTTGCTTGGCCCATACAGTATTTTTTATGTTGGATTTTTGGTTGACTATTGAGCAAAGATTGGAATGCCAAGCAAATTTTTCTTCTAATTTTGCTGTTGGAGTGTAGAAAGTTCAAATTTGGAGCTATTCAACAACCAAGCTGCCACTGTAGTTTTCTTAACAGTAGACATTAGTCCTACCCAGTCCATGAGGATATATTCCAAGGCACCCAGTCAGTGCTAAACTGCAGATAACATTGAATCCTAAAATTTAATGCCTTTTTATCTTAACTAAGTACTCATCATGCCATTGTGGCCATGATTTTTGCCACTTGAAGTGTGATTGAAAAATTAGCACAGATTTCTTTTTTTTTTTTTTTTTTTTTTACAATTTTACAAATAGATTCCTTCTTACCTTGGATTTTACCAGTCTCAGTGTACAATAATTTTCCTTTCCTTAAGTCAGGAATCTTTACCTTTTCACTTCAAAGATGAACTTTACAGTTTCTCTGGCATATTTGGATGCTGGCAATTATCAGCATCCCTTCTCTTAAGGCCACTTAAGAAAATATACTTTCCTTGAATTCAAGCACTGTGTAATGTAGCAGAAGATCTGATTAACCAAGACAGCCACTAAGTAACAGATAGGTAGTGGCTGCAGAGTGAGTACACTGGCCAAAGGAATGACTCACATCCCAGGGGGCAAAGAGCAGGTTGCCATGAAATTGCATCACATTACTCAGAAGAGCACACAGTTTAGAACTTATAAATTATTTCTGGAATTTATCTTAAAATTTTCAGATTGCAGTTGACTACAGGTAACTGAAGAACAAGGAAATCAAAACCATAGATAAAGGGAACTATTGTATCTTCTCTCATTCAACTCTGGGGATAACCTTTGAGCCTTATAAAGATCTTGCAATCATACTGAAGATCACATAATTGTAACCTGGATCTAATTCCAAATTCATGGGGTTTTCACTTTTTTTTTTCTTTTTGTAAACAGATCCATGGAAGTGAGGGGTCCTCTGCCAGTATCATATAGTAACCCCCTTCTTGCTGCCATAAACAATGGAGAATAAGCAGCTCAACTTTTTCTATTGTCTATGTTCTAATCACAGTCATTTATATTTTGAGATATGCCCTAGTCATAAGTTGATTTCACATTCTTTAACTTGTTTTTTCTTTAAAGTAACAATAATGTTAGATAACGCTGAAATCATTGTTTTCATTTTTTTTCTACAAGAAGGAAACAATCTCAGAGAAATTACATATTTGCAGTCAGTTAATGAACAGCCAACACAATAATCTAGGGCTTCTGAGTTCTAGATGTGCAATGATTATCTGTCCTTTGCCAAGCTGAATGTATAGAATTCAGTATTAGTGGCCTTTATTTTAAATAGATTAAAAAGCAAAACAGAACACATAAGTAAGATGTTCTGCTTTTCCATTGTGCTTGGCATTTCACAATTCTTCATTGCAAAACAACGCATAGAGGTTCATGCTCTTCCAAGAATATATTTTAGTATTTGTAGGGCAAAAACCTTTACAAAGAGGCCACTGAATTAAAGTGATGACAAGCATACATACCTTAATGCACATATTCCTGCTCTAAGTAACAAAGGTAAAAGAGATTTGAAGTACATGATCAAGTTTAATGATTGGCACATCTTAGGTGAGGCCAAGGGTTTATTCTAAACTCATTTCTATTTTGAATGTAGTAGAATATATTGTTAGGATTATATTAATATTCATATTTGGGTATTATATGAATTAAATGTTCATAATTTAAGCATTTTTACTTGATTTTATCATGCTACATTCTAATAGTGAATCACCTTACTTTGAAGAAAATTAGTAAAAAAAAAACAACCTGGAATCATGTAATAAATTAGCCTTCCAACTACACTAGCTGGAATCCCATATATATTCACCTGCATTTTACATGAACTTTCTGGGAACATTCCTTAGTATTTTTGTACTTATACAAATACTGGTATTTTGTACTTGTATCTTGTTGAGATACATATTTTTTCCAAAGTATATCCTAAAAGTGCTTATCATTTGTAGAATGCTAACATCGATAGAATTTTCATTTTGATTTGCTCTACTACAGGTAGTGAGTTGTCAGCCTTTGAAAAATCTTTTTTGTTGTTGTTATTGAATTCTGATTCATTAGTAGAATTGGAGGCACATCTAGGGTAAAAAAATCATGTTTCCCTGTTTGGTCTAGTAGGAAGTGAGCCTTGGCGAGGAGTATCTCTTTAATATTCTGTTTAAATTAGTTGAGCTATCTGCTTTCAATAATGAAATTACTCCATGGCAAGTTTCATGCTACCAGCTTCTTCCAGTAAGAGTAAAAGCTTTATCTCTAATTGCTGTCACTAATTTGGTTGTGTATGTCTTTTTTCTTGGCACAGCTCAATGGTTATTCGGGACTTAACCTTACGCAGTGCTGCTAGCTTTGGCTCCTTCCACCTGATCCGTCTACTCTACGATGAGTACATGTTCTACTTAGTAGAACATCGTGTTGCTCAGGCAACAGGAGAAACACCCATAGCAGTCATGGGCGAGGTAAGAGAAGATGAAAGACCTATGGCCTACTGGATTTTGGTAAAAAGAACCCGAATTACATTTCAATCTAAGTATACTAGTTTTTGATTGAAGCTGTGATTTTTTCAAAAGTGAGCCCCAGACCTATGAGGGGCTGTGAAATCATTGCAGAAGGTCCTAAGCACATTTCTGCTGGCTTGAACCACTGGTGGTACATGTATAACTGTTCTGTGGGGCAGCTTGCAGTAGAAGTAATACAGTCATGCATGAAACCATCATGTAGGAACCACTGGTGAGTCAAGCCACCTAGCAGATGATATACAATTACAATCCCTTCATAAGCATGTTAAACCCTTCTGTATCATATTTGTTCTTAAGCAAAGAATTATAAAATTTCAGATTGTATCATGTGAACATATTTCTGCAAAATAAAAACTTAAGAACAGCTGGATTTAAACCTATCAGATGGGAAATAAGTAAGATTAATTGTTCTGATAAGGCTAAGGGACAGCAATGCAAGGGAAAGAATTAAATATGTATGAGGTATGATCAAAATAGTATGTTGACCATTTAATTTTTAAAATTAATTACAGTAAAAGACACTTTCTCAGTAATTTCCATCAAATACTGCCCCCTCACTTCAAACACACTTTTACCATCTTTCTTTCCACTTCCTTAAGTAGTTCTGAAAGTTCTTTTTCATGAATGTTTTTAGTTATGCTGCGCGAGCTTCTTTGATGCCCTGAACTGATTTAAAACATTTACCTCTCATGGTCATTTTGACTCTGGAGAAGAGCAGAGGATACACCATGCCAGATCTGTTGAATAAAGTAGATGAGGGCACATTAATATTTTGACAAGGAGAAGTTGCCATAACATTTGGTAAAAGCTATAATGAATGTTTATATCAAAACATTTACTACAATAAAAGCCACATTGCCATTAATACTCTCAAAGTATTTCCCTCACTTCAAATACATGGTACTTGTCCCATTGTTCTTGGCAATGTGTATTTTACTGTAATAAGTTTTTAAAATGTAATCATTCATTGTATTGTTTTGAGCACACCTTATAGTTGTTTACTCCTTCTCTCAGTCTTCAAAACAAAGTAAGTGATTCGGTTTCAGAATGATGAAGAGGAGGGAGCAGGAAGGCGAGAGTGGCAGCAGCTAGTATGTTTTGGACACTGTGGCGGGCACAGTTTTAAGTCCTTTACATGTAATAAAACATGGTAGTTACAATGTTCTTTAGATAGGCTCTGTCTTATCATTTTTATAAATAAATGTTGGAGATTTATGCAGAAAGATTAAATGCCACGTAGCTAATAAATGGTGAAGACTTTTTTTCAAACACGTAATATGATTTTCACGCTTATGCTTTAGTAACTAATGTATGTATTGGGGGAATCTCTTTCTGGTTTATGGTCAAATTATCTTATCCTCAAAATGTCAAAAAGTGAAAATTTTGAAACTAATACAAGAGGAAGCTAGTATAATGAAGAATAAATACACATGCTCAAATGATTTAGCACTGACTCATTTTTAGTACATTAAGTTGGGGTGCTTCATACCTTATTGTAGTATACTGTCAGGCAAGGATTACCTACAGTAGTAAAGAAAACATGCTCCTGTTTAAGCTGCATGTGTGCTTTTTATCTTTTAAAAAGTGAAGATAAATATTATTAAATGATTTTTCCAGTTTAACACATGCAAGAATAAAGTACAAATGAAAATATCAGAATACTTCAAGGATTTTCCTAAGTATTCTAGTATCAATAAATCGCATATCAAGCATATTGAGAAGATATCGGAGATATTCAGGGTGAGATGGCTATAAATGCCAAGCATATTCAGAACATTAATTGCAATAGTCTTCTTTTCTTTTTTTTTTTAATAGGATATAAGTCTGTATTTCTATGTACAATGTTGTCCAGTGGTAATTGTGCTTAGATGATACCAAATGGGTATATGTAAAATTAGGAAATAACTACTATATCTTTTAAATAATAAGCAGGACCTCTATAATCTAATCTTAGCTATAATTTCCCCTATTTTCTTTTCTTTAGTTGTAGATATTGCAGAATGCCTATTTGGCTTCTGCATTAAGTGCTGTAAGATTTCTCAACTCAGGGTTAAAGACTTTTTATTGTTTTTATTTTATGTTGTGCTGGCATTATCATTTGACCTAGACATCGTCTAGTTTCTTCTCTCATTTTTTCTATGGCTCATTGACAAAGAGTATCTGGTTTAATGTTCTTGTGTTTGCATAATCTCTATGGTGTTTTTTGCCATAGATTTCTAGTTTTATTTTGCTATGGTCTAATGGGACACATGGAATAATTTCACTTCTTTTGTATTATCTTAACTGTGCTTTGTGGTCTAGTATATGGTTTGCTTTAGATAAAGTTCTATGTGCTGCCAAAAGCATGAATTTTGTTTTTGATGAGTGGAACACTAAGTCCATTCATTCAAAGTTTTGGTTCAACTCTAATAATTCTCTATTGACTTTTTTCTCTGCTTGATCTATGGCAGTGAGTTATTAAGGTCCTCTCCTATAATTTTATTAACTTTTGTATTAAGTCCAGTAATGTTTGTTTTATGAAGTGTGTTGCAGCAGCTGTAAGTGCTTCTATATGCTTTCTTGTTATCACTTCCTGTTGAATCTCTTAAACAATGTGTAGTGATGTTCTTCGCCTCCTGATAGGTTTTGACTGATTGTCTGTTTTGTCTAAACAGAATAGTTAGTCCCGCTGATTTCTTGTGCTCATTGCATAGAATATTGTTTGCTAGCCTTTGATTTTTAGTCTCAAATTTATTTTTGGATTCAATATGTTTCTTATATATAGCATTCTGTTGGATTTTATTTCTAGGTCTATTTTGCCAGTCTCTGTCTTTTCACTGGGGAATTCAAACCATTTACATTGACAGTTATTTCTGAAAAGTATTGACTTAATACTGTCTTTGTATTATCTTTCTGTTGCTGATTCTTTTTTTCTTCTCTGCTTAACTGTGTAACCTAACTGATATATCCATTTCCTCAGCCTGTTTTGCTTTATTGCTATCATTGTCTCTTTAATTTTTTAAATTAAAAAATAAAATAATATTTCATAACAAAATAATGATAATAGCAGTAGTTAATACACTGTGAGTCATTATCTTTGAAATATTTATTCAGAATATAATACATAGGGGCTGGGGATTTAGCTCAGCAGCAAAAGCCCCTGCCTTGCAAGTGGTCGTGAGTTCGATCCCCGGTACCGATTAAAAAAAAAACAAAAACACAGAATATAAGACAGAGACCAAAAAAAATTTCACAAACAAGAAATAAATAGATAACATAAAACTTTCTTTTTAATGAACTAAGATAAACTAGTAGTATAATTTAAATAAATTAGCATATATTAATAGAAAATATTAATATATTTTGAAGCAATGGAATAGGTCACTTAGGAAAGTATTTGAACTTTCTACTTGCTATTTATCTCAAACCATACAATATTTAAGCTTGTGTGTCTGATTTATTTGACATCATTATGTTCTCATGTGCATCTATTTACCTATCAATACCTCAAGTTTTTCCTTCCTTATGATGGCACATAGTACTCTCTTGTGTATTAATATCTTATTTTCCTCATCTATTCAGCTGTTGATGGACATGGACACTGTTTCCAAGATCTAGCTGTTATATATGGTGCTGCTACACATATGAGTATGCATTTATCCCTGTAATATGATTATTGTAACTCTTTTTGGGAAGATACCTAGAAGGCAGATAGCTAGTCAAATGAAACTTGTGTTTTTAGTTTTTTGAATAATCTCAGCATGATTTCTATAATAGCCATACTAGTTTACATTCCCATCAACCTTATAGAAGAGTTGCTTTTTCCCTACATCCTCATCCTCTGTTATTGTCAGATTTTTCGGTGATAGCCTTTCTTTCTGGAGTAAGATGGAATCTTAGTGGTTTGTTTGTTTGCTTGTTTAATTTGCATGTCTTTAGTCTCTGCTTTTCTGGGATATACTCAGACTACATGGAGGATCTTTGGTCCTCTTCCAAAATCAAACTGCCTTCATTAATTTGGAAGGGGATGATGCAGTATTAAGTGCCCCACTATCCAATTCTCTGGGAATGGACTACAGTATTGTGTATGCAAAAATATGAACACAAAGGCAATCCATATATTTGTAAACCCAAAAGACTAATAGCAACAGTATGCCACCCTGGCAGCAGCAACAAACTGAGCACAGAAATAGCATCAGAGGCAAACTAAATATTGACATACCATAAGAGTGAATAATGGAGGAGGCACCAAGGTGGTAAGTGGTAAGTACCAGAGAAAGAGCCTCTCTGTGTATTGTCATCTTATACTGGAACATAGCAATGAGAAGAAAACAAGAAGGAGAGAAGTGAGTACCCTGGACCCAGAAAGGATCTGAGATGCAAATTGAAATTCACAGAGACAGTGAAGGGAGAAACTTCAATGAGGAGCAAGGAGGCAGTCAGTGGCATCTTCTGCCTGAGACAGGACTTACTGTGTCAGAGGAACAATTCAAACCTGCAGACATGATTACTGCTGGAAACCCCAGAAACCTTCATGGAAAGACACAGCAATGGAGGGAAGCAGTGGATGGGAAGGACTATACTAGCTGGTAGTAAGTGCTAAGAGCTAAGTCATCCCACCCATGGAAGAGAGTGATTGGCCAGGAGACATCTTAGAGAGGGGCTAGAACTCAGAGTAGCCACTGGCTTCATCTAGTGGCCCCCAGCTGGACTCAGGTCCACAGAAGGTGTGCTGACAGCTACAAGCCAAATGAGTCTCATCTCAGCCAAAAGGTGCAGGAATGCTAAGATTATCTTCTACCCTACCAAAAAGCTACTCGTGGCTTGCTGTGATAGATCGGCATGGATTGGAACTTTGGCTCTGCGTGTTGTCTGCCAGAGACAGCAGAGAGAAATCTGAAAGTTGACTTTTTTTTTTTTAATCTCTCTTGTTTGTTTTTTTGTTATGATGGTGGTTTTCT